GTCATATTTTTCTTCCTATTTAATTATGTATCTTTTCAAGGGTTGATTTTAGGCGAAAATGGAAGAGGAAAAAATGGGGTTAAAAACGATCTTTTGTGATCTCAGCAGGGCATTCGACTGTATAAATCACAACACTTTACTGTCGCGACTTTCGGAATATGGTATTAGGGGTAATTCATTACAATGGATTTCTTCCTTCATCACTGGCAGAAAACAGTTTACTTCGATACATCATAAAGAAGATAATTATCTAACATATGTGAGATCTAACTTAATTACGGCTGAATCGGGAGTGCCTCAGGGATCCGTATTAGGCCCTGTTTTGTTCATTTTATATATGAACAGTATTGAAAATATTCTGGGTAATGGTTCTTTTTCGTTATATGCAGACGACATCTCTTTAATTATATCGCACAAGTCCGATATTGACGCGCAAAATAAATGTGATCAAATTATGAATTCTTTATGTGATTGGTTCATTGAAAGTCACTTATACTTAAATACTGATAAAACACGAATTATGCGTTTTCATACTCGACAAAAAATCTGTGAGCCTCTGTGCATAAAAATTGGTAATTCTTCAATTAAGACTAGCTCAGAACCTGTAAAATTTCTGGGTATATTACTCGATGAGCACATGACATGGAAACCACACTGTGAAAATGTGGTTTCATATTTAAGTTCCATGAACTTTTTATTTTTAAATCTTAGAGATGTCTTAACGAGATAACAGTTGTTAAGTTTATATCATGCTCGTGTAGATTCACATATTCGTTATGGTATTTGTTTATGGGGTGAGTCCACTCTGTCCCAAGCAATACTTAAACTAAACTAAACTAATTTGGACGAATATCGAGTGCAGAATCGTAGTTTTCAAGTTAATGGTGGCGGGTCTAGGTGCGAGCCCCAAATTAGGTCTTAACCCATTAACGAATGACACCGAGAATTCTCGTCTACGAATTCCATGGCATGTTACTCCGGCAGGGAGTAAAGATGGGTGCCGGCCCTCCTATGTACACTGTTTTCAGATGGCATGGGAAGTTTTGGTCGAAAAATGCATCTGATCGTTTTATGTTAACGAGTTAATGGCCATAAGAAGGTTAAATTGGAAAAAAAGTCGTCGCTGGTTATAGGCCATAAAGGATGCTCCTGATGAAACAGTTGTTGCTACAAATGAGGATTACATACTCGATAAAACTTGGGGTTAAAGTAAAACCGACAAACCACAACTTAAATCTTTTTATTTTTGCAACTAATGATTAATATAAAGTACATTCTTTTCTATAACACTAAACTTTAAATGCAATCTAAATTTAATTTTACAAATATTGATTGATAATTGATATTTTCCATTTGTGTGTAAAGTAATTACTAACGAAAGATAAAAAAGCCGTTTTTCCCTCTGCGAAATTTTAATGCCCTGCCTTAGAAAATATATAATTACTTACATAAAGGAACTGCAATTTGTTTTATCTTTTTTTAAAATTAAATACTTTGCTTCTATATTTACATTTACATTTTCTTACATCGAAATTTGTAACTAACCACGACTGTCCCGAAAAAGTCTCCACAAGTGATTTTATGGCATTTCTTTCTGTGGGACGTGTTCGCTAAAGAAAGGAAACGTCATGAAATAACTTATAAATCCGTTCAGGTTGTGGCATTAACTTTTTTTTTTTAGGTGGTTTGGATAAAAATTGACAAAAAACAGCGAGATTGCGGCAATGTTTAAATGCGACGTTGGATATCGTGGTGGTCGTCGCTTTAATAGCGGCTAGTGATTTTCCAAGACAATTTTTATGTCACCGTTACGTCACCATCCAATTTGATTATACGCACAATTATTTTTTATTTTCTTCCCACGATTTTCTGTTAACTTCTACTACATTCAACAGATGTTCAACTGTAGAAATATATTTAAAATTTTGCAAAAGTAAAATGCAGAGTAACATTAATATATTCTTATTTTAGTAAAAATAAATTTTAAAATCTCTCTTCCGTCTCGAATCGTACGAAAAATTGCGGCCGAACCCTCAACTAGTGCGAAAACCTTTACAAACACCCTTACTCCTTATCATCACAGAGTTACTTTTTTTTTTTATTACTCAAATGTTAAAAGAATCATGTCAGTTTTGTGGTGCGATACATTTTCCAAAATCGTCTCGACTAGAACAAAGCTAGACGAGACGAGTCGGATAGGGCACGGCTCATTGTGTGTTGGGTCAAAAATTTAAAACCACAAATCAGAATGAATTATTTATTTAAAAACTCCCACATCACGAGATACAATAATTAACAAGAATTTTATTCTAACAGTTAAAAAGAGACACGCTGCGCATACTCACGATTTTGGAAAATGTATCGAGTCAGTGTTGTTTCACGTCAATAAACAGCAGTTAAACAGCCAAAATATACCCGGAACATCCTCGAAATTTTCAAGGAAACAACTTTATTCATTGAAGAATCGGCGGAAAAAATTGTTAGTTACTCGAAGCGGCAATCTGAGGGTTGGTATTGGTAGTTTGAGTGTTGGTGTGTTTGCACTGATTGGGTATCTCAGGACAGTCCCTCCGGAGCTGAGAATAACACCCAGTGCACACGCGTACGGGATTGTACAGCTGTTCCGAGGGCAACGGGGTGCTGTTTTCAGAACAGTCGGCACAGAAGATCTTGCCGCATTTCCTGAAAACGATCCACGAAAGTGTTATACATGGTGAACATTAAATGTCTGCATATATTTTAAACAGAAATACTAGGGTGGATCGATAAAAAAAATGGACTATTTTTTTTTACTTTATACTCTGAAAAATAGGTTGCTAGACACCTCTAGAAAATTCTCTCCAAATATGATTTCTTAATTTTAATAGGAAGGTCCTCCGCTTTACAGTTTTCCATTTTTTCCTCAGTATCAGAAAAAAAAAATTCATATCTCTCTATCAACTGTTCGTTAAAAATATCTCTCCTCGTATACTTGTAGGAAATTGAACGCTCTACAATAAAAGGTCTCTTACATTTTTTTCGTAAACCTCACCGTTTAAAAGATATTAAAGGTTGAAGTTTGATTATTTTAAGACAAATTTCTGTTTTGCTTATGAATTTTATAACTCGTTAACAAAAAACCATTATGAAATGCTCAATTCATAGTTTTGTAGGAAATTAACTGCTCTACAAAAATGGTTCCTTATGATTAGTCGATTAAATAAAGCGTTTAAAAGATATTCATCGTCAAACTTCAATGCACGCCAATTTTAACAGGTTTTTATTAATAATTCGAAAAATTTCAATTTAGTTTATGAGTTTCAGGGAAATTTATACAAATTTGAGTTTCTATCGTAAAAGTAACAATTATAGAGAAGTTCTTTGTTGGAAAATTTATTTGAAGTTTTTATTCTAATAATATTTTTATAAATTTTATCTCTAATTTAAAATCCCGATTGTGTTATTTTTTTTTGAAAGCGTGTGTTCAGAACGTATTTCAAAACTTTTTTTCACAAAATATACATAAAATTTTTCGTTCTAGGGGAATTTAGTTTTGAATTTCATTACTTCTTCTGTGTGTCTTGTGAAACTAACGCCATCTATGTTTTTTATTCTCAACTTATCTTTAGTGTCTATACGTTTCGTACCGCATTTTCAGTGATTTTAAAACTCATGATCTCGTATACGTGATAAGATAGTTTATTACAAATACCTGTAAGTCTTATAATCACTACATAAATTTATTTATTATTAATTAACCTATAATGGACAAGGAAATTCGTTTGACCGGTATACTTATGCAAAAAATTTTGGAACGTAAGTTACCAACAGTGAAAGAGGTTACGAGTGTGTTATTCTGAAAACTGAAAGTTTTAAAGTGTTTAATCAAACAAAGTGCTAAAAATTCAGTTGACCAAGTTATTGAACTGAGGAAAAAAATCAGATTCCAACTAGTGGAGCTCCTAATGCAGTCAAAAAAATTCTTCGCTATCGTACTCAATGGTTAAAATTACAAAAAAGTTAAAAAAAAAATCAGCACGAAACCAAATTGTTTGAAATTTTATAACTCACTTGATAATTAAATAAAAAAACTTTTTAGTAACAAATTGAACATTTTTTTCTTTAAGATTAATACTTTTCATAATAAATTTCTAACAAAAACGTTATTTTTTCAAGATTTAATGAATCATTGACTCTCAGTCAGAAATAATGCAGTAATTTTTTTTCGATGTCACCAAACATGCTTACGACTAAAAAAACTAGAAAAATAGTTTACAACATTTCTCTGTTCATAGAAACTCAAATTTGTATAAATTTCCCTGAAACTCATAAAACTAAATTGAAATTTTCTGAATTATTAATCAAAAACTGTTAAAATTGGCGTGCATTGAAGTTTGACGATGAATATCTTTTAAACGCTTTATTTAATCGACTAATCATAAGGAACCATTTTTGTAGAGCAGTTAATTTCCTACAAAACTATGAATTGAGCATTTCATAATGGTTTTTTGTTAACGAGTTATAAAATTCATAAGCAAAACAGAAATTTGTCTTAAAATAATCAAACTCAACCTTTAATATCTTTTAAACGGTGAGGTTTACGAAAAAATTGTAAGAAACCTTTTATTGTAGAGCGTTCAATTTCCTACAAGTATACGAGGAGAGATATTTTTAACGAACAGTTGATAGAGAGATATGAATTTTTTTTTCTAATACTGAGGAAAAAATGGAAAACTGTAAAGCTCTAAAGGTGTCTAGCAATCTATTTTTTAGAGTATAAACTAAAAAAAAATAGTCAATTTTTTTTACCCACCCTAAGAAATACAGTTTATTGGCTAGGACATGTTAACGGATTGTTTTTTTTTTTTGTTGAGAACCGCTGACTTGCGGAACGTTTGCAACTGTGCAGTGTTACCGGTGTACATAGAACACCATCTTTTTATATGAAATGGAAAGAAAAAAATATAAATAAAACTAAGCGTTTATTTACGTGTCACAGCGCGTATTTAGCAATGCACAGATTTAACCTGCAGTATGAAATTAAAATGTTTAGGTCTTTCTTAGAACTGGTAATTATTATTTGGTGCATTGGAAAAATGATTGCCTTTCACATGGACAGCGGTTCTCAACGTGTAGGAGGACGAATTAAAAAAAAAAAACGGATATCTCCGTAAATATTTGTAATTCCAATAATAACTTTCTCCGGGCACGCTAGCATCGCTCATACTCATTCGGAATGTAAAATTAATTTAGCGACGTCGAGTAATAAAATGCCGAGTGCTGGAACGGGACGAGTCGCAAAGCGTTTGAAGAATAAACATTAGTCACCTGCAATGATGTCTCCGCCTTCCTAACCAGAATTCCGTCCCGCAGCCCGTACACCTCGATACAGCGTGGTCGGGAACCCAAAGGGTCTGACAGTCGGCCAACGAGGCCTCCTCTATCGCCACCCAGGACATGTCGGAGCGTTGCGATTCTCCAGCCGAGGCCTGTCCCTCGCTTGCGCTACATATCGACTCAACGACGGAGCTCTGCAAAGAAAAAAGGGCATTTCTCTTGGCCGTGCGAGATCTGAAGCTTTGCCAGAGGGATATGTTAAAAAATATGGTGGTTCGGAAATGGGCTTAATTTCGAGAGAAAATATATTTTAATTTAATTTTTATGAGCCACTGCAAACTAATGTTTCTTCTCCCTCCTTTCTTATTTTGTCCAGTTGGATTCTATACAGGATTGGTCAAAAACAGGTTCGATTTTCGAGAGAAGTTAAGTGACAGAAAATGGCATATTGATATTTTGATTCGGAAGTTTTATAAATTTTGTCGCTTTCTATGATTCAATTATAACACAAATGTGTATTTTTTTAAATTTAACACACTACATATTTTTCGATTTTTGTCCCTGAGCACATTTACACGGAAAATTACTTTCAAAGAATAAACACAAACACCAAAATTTATTATTCCGTGTTTAGTGTTGTGGTTGCATGTGACGTTTTGATGATTAAAAATTTAAAAAATGAACCAATAGGACACAGAAATGTATCAAGAAACAATCGATTTACAAAAAAATAACGAATTTTACATAAATTTCAAATGTCAAACAATACATAGGTGTTCCTTTTAAAAAATTATTTTTGTGTAATAAAATAACTGAAAAACCTGAAATAACCAAAATTGAAAAGTGACATCTCAAGCAAATCAAGATTTCAACTTTTCTCAAAAGTCAAGGTCGTGACATCTAAACTACTTTTTTTCCTATTTTTTGAGAGAAACAGAGAAAACCTCTCAAGTGTACAATTTGTCCCACACCGTACATTGCTTGTACTACTCATTCCAGGCGATTGAAGGAATTTATATGAAAAACACCAGTTTACACATTTTTTTTTTATATAAACATTTATAATTTCCTGCTCTTGCTCACTGTGGATCATTTATAAATTTTTGGGAGAGACACGAAATCTGAAAGTTTCGTCGTACACTCTCAAAAATTAAGCTCCAAATTCCAAGAAGAAAAACCTTTTGTAGCAATGAAGTCCGGTGAATATTTATCTGTCTTTTAAATAAACGGCTGTTAGCGTAAGTTTATTTTTAGGGAAAATAAAGTCAATAATGTTTGTCTCGACAACATTATAAGGGGATGGAGGTTGTATCCGTTCCAAAATGTGACAATTAGGAAGGAAACTAAAGTTTTGTATGAAAATTTGTAGATAATTTTCCCTAAAAATACCTTCAAGTTATGCCAGGTGTAATTGAAACAAATCCATCGTGATTTTATGGAAATATGTTTTTTAATGCTTCACAGTTTGATCTGACAAAAAGTGAAAGGAACAACTTACCAGTTTTGTATCGTTCTCAATATAAGAAAGTTCCGTACAATTTCTCGATTGGTTTTCTTCGATCATTGTTTCCAGGCAAATCTATTGCATTAACTAGTGTTTGGCGAGTCCCGACAGACCATCCGTAATTTGGAAATTTTGATGCTTCTACAGTGTAGAATACCCAGCCGGGGCCGTTTTTTTTTTTTAGAAGCAATAAAATTTAGAAATCATTTCTAAAACTGGCTGGATATGGAAATAGCTTGGATTCCTGTAAATTGTGAAAAATTTTGAAATTGTTCTATTTTTTTTTTCTTAAAATAGATTAGAAAGTTCACCAACTTATCGTATTCCTTTTCTAGGCCAGAAAGGTGCTGCGTCTGTCCATCAGACACAAAACAAACTGCAGATTTTTACTAAAGCACTTATATTTATAAATTTACAAAAGTTTTCATTTACACTTGGCATAGCTCCTGTTACAGTTATGAGAATCTTCGCAGATCCTCGTTTAGTCAGTTAAAAAAAAAACAAAAAAAAAAACGGTTCAAACAATACTAATAAAAAATCATTAGCAGTAACAAGCACAGAAAACAATCAAATAAAGCTTGAAAGAAAAAAAATATATAAAATTGAAATCGGGCTAACACTGACTGACCAGTCGGTTCGGAAGGGGACTCGAATTTCTTTGGGGGCTACAACTGAGAGACTTTGATATACTCCGATTCGTTGACTCCACGTCACTATCAGACTATAAAAAATATAACAACAATAATAAGATGTCTTTAACTCTAGGCATGGTACATTTAATAATTTTGCCTAAAAGGCGTAGCAAAGAATAAAAAATAACAAAACAGGTAAAATGTAACTGCTCAAGCTAAATGAAAATCGGGAGTATCAAAAAAATACCCACAGTCACTGTTTCTCCAACAAATTTGTTTTGATCGTTTGTAATTATCTTAAATAAATAACCCCTTACACCAAAAAGGGGTTGATTTTATAAATATAGTTTCGCTTAACCAGATATATCTCGCACCTTAAAAGTAAAACATAATTCTCAACGACTACACAGTCATCACAGTTAATTATATTACAGTCATTATAGCTTTTTTTCGGAAAAAAATACTGTTAGATGTTTATCTGCTGAATATTGTTCCAAAACGTGTTACAAACAAAATATCAAAAAATCAACTCGAGACTAGTTGGGAAACTTTGTTAAAACAATGGTCGAAGTTACGGAAAAGTGGTTTTTTGACTCGCGTAAAAAAAACTATTATTCATAGAGAAAAAAAGTTTTTACAAAAAAGGTAGGTATTAAATAAATCTGTAAAATAGGACAAGTCTGATTAAATTCCGATAATTTGTTTATCCGCAAGAGCTCAAAAATGGTCAAAATTGTCCGCTTTTTTCAATTGCTAATAATTAATGCAATTTTCATCGCAGACACTTATAATTCAGGATTTTTGAGGCTTTTTGCACCCTTTATAAGTGGTAAAAAATTCAACCTGAAAGCTTAATTACTTTGGCATTGGCGGAATTTTTTATCTAAGATGCTATTTTCCATTCATTTTTCCCAAGCTCACAGGCGTTATAGGGTTTTGATCATTAGTTGTTTTTGTACCTAAATAGTTGCATTTACTGAGAATTAAATTTTTCAAATTTAATTTGTTTAAAAATGACTGAAAAAATGTTAATATTTATTAAATTGTTAAGATAGGTAATTATTATAAAATAAAATAGTAACCTCTATACTTTAGTTTTCTTCGAATTTTAAAAAAAAAATCGTATGTTGATTAGAAGCCGAGATAATTTTTTTTTTTTCATTTAATCACAGTGACCTTAATTATTAATATTAAGAGCCGAAATTTGGAGAGAGTATACATTAAGAGCTATATTTTCATGTCCTACATTAACAATAAGGTGAATTCAACTATTTAATTGCAAAAAATAAGATAGCGGCGATGCGTTCTATTACTCGATCTAGCGAACGAGCGGGAAGAGCGAGGCTAAATAAAAAATTAAATCTCTGGTTGAAATAATGTTAATGCAATAGCTTCAATGCTCATGAATTTTCGCGCTACCACAAATTAAAATAAGAATCATCTCGATAGGTTCATTATTAACCGAGATATGGCTAATTATTCCAGCCCCATCGATTTGAAGCCGCTCGATCATTTTCCTGTGTGCAACCAGGCACGTAATGCGCATGCTCCGCCTCTCTCTCCCCACGCGTTCGCTAGACCGAGTAATAGAACGCATCACCGCCGTCTTCTTTTTTGCAATTAAATAGTTGAATTCACCTTTTAATGTTAATGTAGGACATGAAAATATAGCTCTTAATGTATACTCTCGCCAAATTTCGGCTCTTAATATTAATAACTATGGTCACTGATTAAATAAAAAAAAAAAAATTATATCAGCTTCTAATCAACTTAGAACGATTTTTTTTAAAATTTGAAGAAAAATAGTACTAACTAAACTATAGACGTTACTATTTCATTTTATAATAATTACCTATCTTAACAATTTAATAAATATTAAAATTTTTTCAAAATCATTTTTAAACAAATTAAATTTGAAAAATTAAATTCTCAGTAAATGCATATGTCAATAAAACTATTTAGGTACAAAAGCAACTAATGATCGAAACTCTACAACGCCTTTGAGCTTGGGAAAAATGAATTGAAAATAGCATCTTGTTAGATAACAAATTCCGCCAACGCCAAACCAATGAAGCTTTCGGGTTGAAATTTTTACCACTTATTAAGGGTTCAGACCTTCAAAAATCCTGAATTACAAGTGTCTGCGATGAAAATTGCATTAATTATTAGCAATTGAAGAAAGCGGCCATTTTCGACCATTTTTGAGCTCTTGCGCATAAACAAATTATCGGAATTTAATCGGACTTGTCTCATTTTATAGGCTTATTATACTATACCTACCTTATTTGTATAAACTTTTTTTCGCTATGACTAATAGTTTTTTTATGCGAGATAAAAAACCACTTTTCCGTAACTTTGACCATTGTTTAACCTTTCAGTGGTCGCGCACGGTGTGGGAGACCGGCGCATTGGTTAATCAACCGTATTTTAAAGATTCGGATAAATTCGTGAGTTTCCGTCCATCTACCTCTCAAGGATATTCTAGTCTATACATTGCCGCTGTTAGTATTAGCCTAGGGATCGTTATAAGTGTGGTATATGCAAACACGGTGTCTTAGACCGGGTGCGACTACTAATGCAATAACATTTCTGTGATACTTATTTTGTATTGGTGGTTAAGAAATATATTTTTTGGTAAGTATTATCTACTTTTTTTTGGTTTCATAATATAGTTATTAAATAATATTCAGATATGGACTATGAAAGAGAACAAGAAAGATTATTGAGACTATTAGAAGAAGTACCCACTGATGAAGAATATGATGACGAAGAAGAACCAGGAGAAATGGATAACGTAGGTGAAAGATCCGAAGATAGCGATACAGATCAAGATTTCGATGATAATGAGGATGAGGAAATGAAAACCAGTGGGTCATATCTTATGGGAAGAGATAATAGAACCAAATGGAGCAAACATTGCCCTCCCAAAAATGTCAGAACGAGGAAAGAAAATCTAACTTTTCGCTTACCTGGTGGCAAGGATTGCGTTAGAGAAAAAACCTCTCCTGTTGAAATATGGGAATGTTTTTTTGACAACGAAATTCTAAACAATATAGTGCATTATACCAACATTAAAATAGAGGCAGAAACAGAAAATTTCAGTCGCAGCAGGGACATATATCCAACAAATCTGGACGAAATAAGAGCACTTATTGGTCTTTTATATCTTGCAGGAGTGAGAAAGGCCAACCATCTAAATACTGAGGATCTGTGGAAGAAAGACGGAACTGGCATCGAAGTATTTCGCCTCACAATGGGCCTCAGAAGATTTCGTACACTGCCACGTTTTGTTCGCTTTGATGACATTGAAACGCGCCAGGAAAGAGTTGCACTAGATAAGTTAGGTCCCATAAGAGATCTATTTGATCATTTCAATAAAAATTTGAAAAATTGTTACAACCATTCTGACTACGTCACAATTGACGAAAAACTGGAAGCTTTCAGAGGTAGGTGCGGGTTTAGGCAATATATACCAAGTAAGCCAAATAGGTATGGTATAAAAATATTTGCAATATCTGATGCGAAAATGTTTTACACCAGTCAAATGGAAGTTTATGTTGGACAGCATGCTCACTAATATTTTTATTGTATTTTATGATCTGCATGCTATTTTTGAGATTGAAACCAATGACTTTTCTGTATAAAAATAGGTTATTTTATGTTTTGAGAAGACAAATCTGATGTCGTTAAGCTTTTATCAGTATTTTAATTTTTGTTATTCACATATACAGAGTGACCCATTTGAAAGCGGGCCACCCTCATAACATTTTTATTTATGGAGCGATTTTGACGAAATTTTTTTTGAAATGTAGAGGGGGGAAAAGTGTATTTTGGGGCTAAGCGCCGTCCAGTTCTTTTTTAAACTAAGGCCTACTAGATCACATTCAGAGGCTGAAAAATCCAGAATCCATATTAGCGATTTTTTTAGAAAAAATCTGCGTACGCCACTGGATTTGGCGTCCCCTGAAATGGATCTGTACCAAATTTCATGAAAAAATATTCAACATTAACGATTCTGCGGCTAAATTGCTGTCAAATTGTTTATTATGCATAAAGAAACTTTTTATCTAGTAACCCATGCGATAATAAATCAATCACAACAAATATTTAATAACACGTTTAATAGACATCATTATACCAAAATACAATGAAACAGACAGAAAAATGAACGAGAAATTAACATAAAATTTACAAAAAATACAATAAAATAAAATTAACACACATGAATTAAATTAAATTCTGGAATTTTCAACTAAATCTCCATTTAATTGAATGAATATTTTTGTAAATGTTGCCTCTCCTAGATTTTTTTTATGGGGGTTCATTAAAGAAAAAGTTTACTACACTCGTCCAATGAATGCAGAAGAACTGCGCGAAAGAAGAAGATAGGCATGCGCTGAAATTACAACACATCAATTGTCTAATGTTATGGCACACATTCAAAAACAATACAATAAATGCATTCAATTAAATGAAGATTTAGTTGAAAATTCCAGAATTTAATTTAATTCATGTGTGTTAATTTTATTTTATTGTATTTTTTGTAAATTTTATGTTAATTTCTCGTTCATTTTTCTGTCTGTTTCATTGTATTTTGGTATAATGATGTCTATTAAACGTGTTATTAAATATTTGTTGTGATTGATTTATTATCGCATGGGTTACTAGATAAAAAGTTTCTTTATGCATAATAAACAATTTGACAGCAATTTAGCCGCAGAATCGTTAATGTTGAATATTTTTTCATGAAATTTGGTACAGATCCATTTCAGGGGACGCCGAATCCAGTGGCGTACGCAGATTTTTTCTAAAAAAATCGCTAATATGGATTCTGGATTTTTCAGCCTCTGAATGTGATCTAGTAGGCCTTAGTTTAAAAAAGAACTGGACGGCGCTTGGCCCCAAAATACACTTTTCCCCCCTCTACATTTCAAAAAAAATTTCGTCAAAATCGCTCCATAAATAAAAATGTTATGTGGGTGGCCCGCTTTCAAATGGGTCACTCTGTATATATGATGAGACATTATTTTGTTTATTTTTTTGTCTATGTTGAAAAATGATGGTCTTATTGAATAAATATTTCAAAAATATCTCAAATCTATTAATTCTACATACAGTTTTCACTCCCCCTCAGAATTATCCATAATATTTTATTAATAAAATATTTTTTTGAACTGGTCTCTAAGACCGTGTGCGACCATTAATTTATTAAAATTTGGCGCGACCACTGAAAGGTTAAACAAAGGTTCCCAACTAGCCTCGAGTTGATTTTTTGATATTTTGTTTATAACACGTTTCCGAACAATATTCCGCAGAGAAACTTCTAATAGTATTTTTTTCCCGAAACAGGCCGTTTCATGTCTATAATGATTGGACTATAACGTTTAGAAAAAAAACTAGCTAAAAAATTATTTAACCCCTTAAGACTGGCAGTTTATAGACAAGAAATCGCACTTTTAGTCTTAAATGACAGAACAAGAAAATCCATCTAAACTATAAAAACGTTGAAAATACAAGGATTTCTTTAAATTTTCGCAGTGAAAGAACACGCAAAACATCGGATAATGTACCTTTCCTGTTTTGTCCAACAAATTTGTAATAATACTCGATTGTTTTTAAAGCACGTGTTAATAGTTACATAAAAGCATTCTGCGGGGTGCAATTATGTTTGCATTGTATCGTACACGATTTTTTGTACGTCCAACAGGCATGTTAAAGTTCAGGAAATGTAACGATAAACGTAAGAGGTAAAGGCATGCTTTTCCTTATTCTGAATGTATTGCCAGCTTGCAAACAGTCTTATACCCCACAGAAAACTCGTATAAGTGGTACAGTGACAGTGAAGAGATAACGTTTCCAACTTGCTTAACCCTCGTCAAAAGGCTGCTATACATTCACTGAAAATTACACACAAAAATGCCAATTTTATAAAAAACGAGAAGAGAGAGATATCGCTGGTTAGGCAGAACTAATTTGATAAAATCACTTCTTTTAACTGATCCCTTTTAGGTGCATTTATTTGAAACTTTTTCCTTTTCACCGTGGCATCAAACGAAAAAAAGAGTAAATTAATTTTTATTAAATTTGACATTGATTCCCCATACCCCGCATTTGAGAAATAACCACAGATCCGACGAATTTGTTTCGATAACAATTTGGAAACAGGCCTACAGATATGCGTCCCGGACGGACATTCTGCGGGGGTCTACTTACGTTGTCGTCTTGACGTTCGCCGTCCATGTGGTTGCACCTTTGACAGGACTGCTTTATGAGGTTCTGTCTCGTTACGTGCAGCTCTTTTTCCAACAAGTCCACTTTCCTCTGTAAATACAAAACGACCAGTTACCCTCTACAAATATTTTTCCTTTTTATCTCTTCAAGTCGGAATCCCACACAACGAGAAAGGGATTCATATCACCCCGAGAATTTTGTGCTAATTTGTTGCTATATTAATTTTTATGCTAAAAATGGCAATAAATTCAGTTTTGAACTATTTTCAATCAATTACGACATAAGGAATAATCTGATATGAAAACTATAGCGGCAACCCCTCGAAGGATAGTGGTACATATAGTTCAATCAAATTACTTTTTTAGGTGCCAAAAAATAGTTCAGTAATTATTCAAAATATGTAAAAATTCCGTAGAATCCAATGAACTACTTTATCCCACCTGAATTTTTGGGCTTAATTTTCAAGATGGCGTCCAACATCCGCAAAAAAACAATTTTTTTTATTTATAGAAAATACTAAACATTTTAGAAAAAAATGTTTTACACAAAAGTTGTAGGAATTTTTAATACGGATTGAATAAGCCCAAACCGGTTTTAATCGATAAATAAATTAATTAAGTAGTTATTGCGAAAAAACCGCTAAAGATCGCAATTTTTTCAAATAGCTGTATCTCTTTCAAAAATAAATATTTTTTTATGAAAGGATAGCTCTTGGTGAGTAAAATGAAATGACTTTTTCAAAATTGAAAAATATTTTAGTTTTTGCAAAAATAGAGTTTTTCGAAAAAAATAGCGTTTTTGTAAATTCCCCATAATTCATAGGCCGCCAAATTTTTTGTTAGGAACGGGGTTGGGTTTAAAATTTTCTTTAATAATTACACTATTATGGGCAAATATTGGGCGAGCCTCAAATCGATTTCAAATATCGCAAAAACGTTTGAAAAATTGTTTTTTTTTTCGGTGCCATAAAACTGATTAACTTTTTGATTTCCATTCGTATCAAAATGTCGATACTGACATTCGAAAGTTGACATTTTTTCACGATTTAAAAAAAAAATCTGTCCTACGACCAACAGGGGCCGAGAAAATTTTTTATTTCCAAAAATCGCCACGACTTTTGAAAAATTTTTTTGTAAAATGTTTAGTTTTTTTTTATAAATGAAAGAAACTGTTTTTTGCGAACTTTGGACGCCATTTTAAAGTGAAGCTCAAAAATTCAGGTGGGATAAAGTAGTTCATTGGATTCTACGAAATTTTTCCTAATTTTTACATATTTTCAATTACTGAACCATTTTTTGACAAAAAAATGAGGTACTTTCGACAATTTGATTGGACTAATACATGTACTACCTTTTTTTCTCATTCCGAGTCTATTATTTTATGGGTAAATTTTGTCATTCAATAGGATTTGGGTATTCATGAAAGCACTTTCATGGGATTTTAGAATTTTTCCTTTCTTTACAATAAACAAAAGGACATCGAAAAACCTGTCCTTTTCCAAAAAAAAAAAAAGATGCTGCTATTTACGATCTCAGGAGTCAAAAAGGTATTTTTGCAACTGCCAACTGTCAACATTCTACAAAAAAATAATTTTTGATATCGGCCAAAAATTAAAGTTGCAGGCTTGTAACACATTTAAACGCGACACCCTGTACAGGGTGGGCAAATAAGCGAGGTAAGCGGCTGTATCTCAGAAACTAGTGATCGTAGAGAGCTACGGTAAAAAATTTTATAGGTAAAGTGGGCAAGGGAAAATGCTGGAAATTATTTTCAAGTTTCCAAGATGGCCGCCAGTGGGCGTTTCCACCATCTTGAATTACATAAAGTTACGTTTCTCGCGATTTTCCCCAATGAATGTAACAAAAAAGTATTTGCGTTTTAATGTTAACTTAAAGTCGAACATTTTTTGTAAAAACAATTTTTCTCTATCTTTCGAAATAAAGTGGTGGGGGGTATTTGAATGTTGTTTTAAATAAATGCCTGTAACTTCGAAACGGCTTAATGGATTTGGATAAATTTGGTATCATTGAAAAGAGCATTTCTTGGGCTTTTAGGTTTCTCGTAATCATGACAGTTGCGACCTACACGGCCGCCGATAGAGGGCGTTATTCGATATTATAACCAAAATATTGGATTTTCTCAAAAAATTTAAATGCGATGATATGACTTTTTTTAGACTAGAAAATAGACAAATGACCAACCAATAAGCCTGCGCAAACCGCATCTTAATATCTTTTTCCTAACTCAAATTATTAAAAAAAAATACTAAACCAGGAAAATTCATATATCCCCATTTAAAAATGCATCGGTTGCTTTCGATAAGAAGGCAAGTAGTAGGCCATGGAAATAAAAGACAAACTCCTCTCTAAAATATTCACAAGAAATGTCAGTTTATTTAGTGCTGTGATTTTAAGTCGCACGTTTTCGTATTTATAAGCGATTTTCCTTTTAAATAAAGTTGTGGTCCTGAAAAGGACCGATTTTGAAAAAAGATTAATGCCTTCTGTGTTCAAATTGCCTTCCGTCATATTCCACACATTGTTCCAGTCTTTCTTGAGTCGACAGAACCGCAGCCTCGATTTCTACCGCTGATAGTTGACGAATTGAGTTTCGAATTCTGTTTTCCATATCCATTCGTGTTGTTGGTGGAGTTTGAAAAACAATGTCTTTTAAGCGTCCCCACAAGTAAAAATCAAGACATGTCAAGTCCGGAGATCTTGCCGGCCAAGGAAATAGGCTTCCCCTTCCTATCCAGCGTTCTCGAAAGGTCCCGTTAATATGGTTTCGGACATTAATTGAATAATGTGCCGGACAACCATCTAATTGCAGAAACATAGTTCTCCTAGTTTCGAGTGGCACATCTTCCAACAAAATTGGCAAGTCGTTGATCAAAAACTCTAAGAAGCGGTTACCAGTTAAAGCTTGATCAAAAAAATAAGGTCCAATAATTCTGTCCCCAATGATACCGCACCACACATTTAGGCTCCAGCGTCCCTGGTGCTGCACTTCTCTTAACCAATGCGGATTTTCAGCGGACCAATAATGCATATTATGACGGTTTACTCTACCATCACTACTAAAGGTAGCCTCGTCGGTCCAGAGAATTTCCGTTAAGAAATTTCTGTTTTCCTCAAGCATGCCTAGCATCCATTGACAATAATTTAATCTATTATCGAAATCTTGTTCATTTAGCGCCTGGTGCAAAACTATGTGGTAAGGATGTAATCTAAAAGTAAAAAACAACATATGCGTAAAAATAATATAATCAGAATAACACTGAATTGTGTATTTGAGAGTATGTGCTAAGATACTTGGAATAAGATAAAATTATTTACCTATAATCTTTCAAAATATTTCTAACAGTTGTTCGTGCTATTCCCAAGTCTAGAGACAATGTTCTAGTTCCTACATGTCTATCAAATTCTATGTAAGCCAAGACATTGATAATGTTTTCTTCGGTCCTTCCATTGCGACGCCTGCGACGTTTAGGACGACGAAAACTTCCAGTATCGCGTAATCGCTGTACCAAGCGCGGAAACATTCTTCTCCCGTAATGACGGCGATCTGGATACCGTGCCGCGTACTGTCTTGCAGCTATAGCTGCATTTTGAAAACACTCGAAATAAATCGCAATCATGTCAACGGCTTCATTATTTGTGAGAGGCATTTTGATTAAAAAGTACTCAAATTATACGCAATCAACAATATTAGGCTGCGTGTGACAAAAGTTTGACGTTACTTGGCAATATTTTTGTTAGGCGATTGTCGTGTCCATGGCCTACTACTTGCCTTCTTATCGAAAGCAACCGATGCATTTTTAAATGGGGATATATGAATTTTCCTGGTTTAGTATTTTTTTTAATAATTTGAGTTAGGAAAAAGATATTAAGATGCGGTTTGCGCAGGCTTATTGGTTGGTCATTTGTCTATTTTCTAGTCTAAAAAAAGTCATATCATCGCATTTAAATTTTTTGAGAAAATCCAATATTTTGGTTATAATATCGAATAACGCCCTCTATCGGCGGCCGTGTAGGTCGCAACTGTCATGATTACGAGAAACCTAAAAGCCCAAGAAATGCTCTTTTCAATGATACCAAATTTATCCAAATCCATTAAGCCGTTTCGAAGTTACAGGCATTTATTTAAAACAACATTCAAATACCCCCCACCACTTTATTTCGAAAGATAGAGAAAAATTGTTTTTACAAAAAATATTCGACTTTAAGTTAACATTAAAACGCAAATACTTTTTTGTTACATTCATTGGGGAAAATCGCGAGAAACGTAACTTTATGTAATTCAAGATGGTGGAAACGCCCACTGGCGGCCATCTTGGAAACTTGAAAATAATTTCCAGCATTTTCCCTTGCCCACTTTACCTATAAAATTTTTTACCGTAGCTCTCTACGATCATTAGTTTCTGAGATACAGACGCTTACCTCGCTTATTTGCCCACCCTGTACATACACATGTGTATGAGGACGCTGACTGTCAATGTCAAAAATATTGTCAACATGAGCAAAATATTGTACAAATAATATGTGACCCATATTTTATATGTTTCCGAGGTCAGTGACAATGATTGCAATGAGAATGGGGGGGGTACCACCTCAATAGAGGTCTGTTTTTTTTCTACATGACGGTTGGGCACTCCCTCACCTTGTGTTCGTCTATGATTTGGTCCAACCGTTCCTGGACGACACACCTGAGCGGTATCAATCCGTCATCACCCAACGTATACTGATATGAGTTGAGGTTATTCTTCTGAGACGCACCCTGGAAAGTGGCGTCCCACCCGTTGCTGTAGGGCGAACCGGAACACCTCGACCTCTGGTCGCCGACACTGTGCTGGCGACTGTGAAAAAACAATCGAAAAGAGACATAAGGTGCGGTCAGTTTTCTATTTTTTGATTTTTTTTTACTTTTTTGACTAATTTTTTGTCATTTTCAAAACAATAATGGTTATAATTCTTATTATTTTTACAACAAATTGGTTCTTTACTTATTAAAAAATTCTTTCAAAAGTTTTATTTGTTAATAATAAATAAGGATTAGTCAAAAAAGTAAATAAACTCAAAAAATCTTATTTTTTGCTTTTTTAAAATTGTTTATTAATGATTTTTTGCATAAAATTTTTTTTCTAAATAATTTTCCTATGAACTATAGTGAAATTTTGCTTAGTTTTCGAGCTACAATTAAAAAACTGAAAGGGGTACATTTTCACCCCTATCTCCAACTTCCACCCTCTAATTTAATAGCACTCCGCGATTTTTTCATCTAAAATGACCTTTTGAACGATTCATGCAATAAAATATCTTGGACGTCATAGTTCCATTTAAAATCTTATAATCAATAGCCTATAAACAATCTGTACAAAGGCACCGGACTGGCTAAATATTTTTAAAAAATTAATATTTTTTGCATGATTTATTCAATGTTGTTAACAAATATTCGTATACTTATATCGAAAGGCAAACCTGATCAACACTAATCTGATTGTTTTGAAATATATTTTAAAGCCATCTCAAGTTTTTAATAGAAAGTACGTGTTACTATTTTTTTAAAGCACTGCGTCTAGTTTGCGAATCTCAGTGTGATCTCATATTAGGTCTCTGCACAAATCGGCAACGAGGAGAACAACGCTCCCCAATTCAAACGACGCCTTTTTATTTTAAGACTACGCTAATCACCTGTGAGCTCCTTGGCTAAATTTAAATTTTTGAGCACAACCATCAGTCATATCACTACTTTCTATTGGACTTTGGACTTTTTCGAATCCGTTGATTTCTTTTGGGGACGAACTGCAAAAAAAGTCAGGCGTTATAAGTATTATCATTTGTCAGAGGTTTCTTCTCATAAACTACATTATAAAAATTACAGTCTAAAGGCGGACTGATCACAAAAACCGGAGTCACAAAAAAGGGCAACAATCGATATTGGGCGAAGCTGTAGTTTATGCGAAGACTCAAAACTTCCTAAAATGCCAAACATTTGTCTCCGATATTCAGTAACATGAAACCCTTAATCTTAGCGATTGTAAAAAGGGAAAAGAGTTTAAATCGAGGGGCGATCCGCTAAGGAAAAAACGTACAAAGATTACAAAATTTCTGAAATCTCTTGTAATGTATCTGCAGATTTCAATATCGATTAAAAAAAAATTACAAATTTCATATAAATAATCAAGATTACAATATCTTTCAACCGATTACAAAACATTTCAGGAGATTTCAGAGTTATTTTAGTAGATTTCAATGATTATTTAAGATTTCAATAGGATTATTCGAAATTAAAAGAAGATTTCAAAATTTCTTAATAATATTTCAAGGAATACGGGAAGATTACAATAAGTTTTGAATGTCCATTTGAACAAAAATAATTGAATTAACTTCAACTGTCATTCATTTCATTCATTAACAGTAGTGCTTTGATTAAGAATTTCCAGTATCATTTTTACGCAAAAATTGTAACATTCTGATTAAGTTTTTGTTCGAATGAACGTTAAAAACTTTTTGTCATGACAAAAATGATAACGCCATTTTGAAAGTAGGTAAGTATATATTTTTATTGAAAGATAAAAATATAATAATCCAATAAACTAATAAAAATAAAAAAATAGAAGTAACATAAAATAAACATTTTCCCAAAAAATAAATAATAAGAAATATTTTAAGCTTTTATTAACACTTGTATTTAATACTTTACCTGTATACAGTGTATTTAAAAAAGACGCGGCAATATTTAAGGGGGCGATTGCCCAGATCATTTTATAAAAAAAAGTTCCTATAAACATACGTCCGCAAACGCTTCGTTACCGATCTACAGAATGTTGAAATTTCATTAAAAAAACAGTAAAAATTAAATTTCTCCAAAACCTCTTGATATTATAATGAAATTTTAGGCCTGTCAATAGCTATGGCAGACGCGTACTTTGCAATACAAAACGATTTTTTAGTCTTACCAGTGACTAGCTATTTTTAATGAAAAAAATAGGACCCCGCTGGTTTTTCTAAAAATATAATTTTTTAATTCCTTGTTCAATTATGAAGAAGAAAGCTTTCCTCAGATTATACGCACCGTACGTCACACCGTTATTGAGTAAAAAAATAAAAAACATTTTATTGCGCACCTAAACCCAATGTTGTTTTAATTGAGAAATTTAAATTATTGAACAAAGAAATTCAAATTATCAAATTTGATTGATTTTTGAAATGTGGTACATACTGTTGTTTGTAGTAGGTAATAATAAGGGGCTGCGTTTTAGAGAAATTTAATTTTTACTGTTTTTTAATGAAATTTCACATTCTGTAGATCGGTAACGAAGCGTTTGCGGACCTATGTTTATAGGACTTTTTTTATAAACTGACCTGAGCAATCACTCCCTTAAATATTGCCGCGTCTTTTTTAAACACACTGTATACAAGTAAAGTATTAAATGCAAGTATTAATAAAAGCTTAATATATTTTTTATTTATTAGTTTTTGGGAAAATACTTACCTACTTTCAAAATAGCATTATCATTTTTGTCATGACAAAATGTTTTTAACGTTCATTCGAACAAAAAACTTAATCAGAATGTTACAATTTTTGCCCAAAAAATGCCTGATACTGGAAATTCTTAATCAAAGTACTACTGTTAATGAATGAAATGAATGACATTTGAAGTTAATTCAATTATTTTTGTTCAAATGGACATTCAAAACTTATTGTAATCTTCCCGTATTCCTTGAAACCTTATTAAGAAATTTTGAAATATTCTTTTAATTTCTAATAATCCTATTGAAATCTTAAGTAATCATTGAAATCTACTAAAATAACTCTGAAATCTCCTGAAATGTGTTGTAATCTTGATTATTTATATGAAATTTGTAATATTTTTTGAATTGATATTGAAATCTGCAGATACATTACAAGAGATTTCAGAAATTTTGTAATCTTCGTCTGTTTTTTCCTTGGCGGATTGCCCCAATCGCACCATATAGGTTTCTGTCGAGGTTTCTGTGGCATTCTTTGGAAAATGATGTAGGGGGCGTTGTACAACGACTACATCGACGAAATTCATTAGCTGATTACATAGATTACAGCGAGGATTACAGATAAGATTACGTAGATTACAGATAGATTACATAGATTACAGATAAGATTATGTATATTAGATACAGATTCCAGGGCAAACGTACGAAGATTACATCAGCGGATCGCCCCTCGGTTTAAATTGTTTATTCCGATACTCCTTCCAAATAAAGCTCGGATAAACATAAAATAGTCCTTCAATATAAAAACAGTTTTCGCCAGACAGCGTTGAACTGAACTGAAATAGTGTTAATAATAACCCGAATACAGAGAATAACGGAAATAAACAATTGACTTGGAGGCATGTAAATAAAACTCGGTGAAATAATGGCGGTAGGCCTTATAAATTTTTGTTATGAAAAGTCGACGTTCCAAAATATTTTTTTTCCCAAGGCCTTTTTTTATATTGTTTATGCAGTGGTAAACAAGATAAATTTTTCAACTTTGAGGTTAAGCAGTATCAACAAAAAATTTTATAGAACCTCTATTATTTATGTGGGCACTTCCCTTGTAGCGTTATAAAAGTGAAAACGTTCTCGATGTGCAATTGAGAATATTCATTGTTCACATACAAAAAAATCACTTTCTGAAATTTCGCGCTACACCACTGGCACGATCCACTCCAATGACACAACTGCATTAAGAGGTTATATCACTTTGAAAAACTTTTTTTTTGAATTTTTTTTATTGGCTTAAAATACGTTAAAACATTCCTAGATTCATAATCAAAAATTTTTTTGCATGAAAAAGATTCCGTAAAATTAAATTTTCCAAAGTGTAAAAATAGCAGATTTCGCTTCTATCCTCGACACAGCAGTTTTTAATTTCGTGCACGTAAAAACGCCTATAACCTACCGATCATCGAGAAATTACTTCAAAGGTGAACTATAGATGTCATCACAAGCAAAAAAAACGTTATTATACACGGCTGGAAAATCCACATTGTCCATTTTATTATGATTTCTAAAAGTTACAGCATTCTCAAACTTGAAAATTGAACTGTAACTTCATCGTGTGATTATCTAGTGAAGCACACACGATTTTTACAATTGATCAACAGGATTTTTTTTATACACTGAGCTCGTAAAGTTTGGAATAAATTCGAAAAATCGTTACTGAAGGGTTTTGACAGGAAATGCTCGGACACGTCAACTTTAGTTTATAAAATGTCACTTTTTTTAGCAATCGACTTTTTTTTTGTTTTGTTTGTTTTTGATCTATGACGTCATCGGCAATTTTTTTAAATGGCAACCCATATTTTTTTCCACGGATTTCGATAGAGCACATTTTTCTGAGTACGAATATGTCAAAAACGCATGACCTTCAAGATGGAAGTTTTCGAGATATTCGGTTCCAAAGTTTCAAGAATGCATTATACAAGCGATGACAAAATACTAATCATTTATCAAGGAAGCGCTGGAAAAATTACAGTTTTGATAGTTGAAGTTTGTTCTCGCAAGTTTGTGTTTTAAACTGTCTATTATCTCGAAAACTTCCATCTTGAAGGTCGTACGTTTTTGACATAATATTCATGCTCCGTAACTGATCATAAAAATTTCGATTCTTTCCCTTTCACTCAAACGACGGACCATTTTCAAATAAAATGAATTCTGATAGAATAATGATTAATCAACTTAAAATAAAACACAAACTTGCGAGGACAAACTTCAACTATCAAAACTGTAATTTTTCCAGCGCTTCCTTGATAAATGATTAGTATTTTGTCATCGCTTGTATAATGTATTCTTGAAACTTTGGAACCGAATATCTCGAAAACTTCCATCTTGAAGGTCATACGTTTTTGACATATTCGTACTCAGAAAAATGTGCTCTATCGAAATCCGTGGAAAAAAATATGGGCTGCCATTTAAAAAAATTGCCGATGACGTCATACATCAAAAACAAACGAAACAAAATAAAAGTCGATGGCTGAAAAAAGTGACATTTTATAAACTAAAGTTGACGTGTCCGAGGATTTCCTGTCAAAACCCTTCAATAACGATTTTTCGAATTTATTCCAAACTTTACGAGCTCTGTGTATAAACAAACTCGTTTTTTATGGTGGTGGCTTGCAAAAAAAATTCCTAAAATTATGACCGTGTGTACTTCATTAACTAAACTCATGTAGTTTATGGAAAAAAAAATTTTATGATTCCAGATGTTGATTCAGGGGACTTCTGTTCGCCGCGGAGGACCTTTGAAAAATTTAGTTTTGTTCATGCGCTACTACAGCAGCCATTTCGCAACAAATTTTCCATAAAAAAAAATTTTCTTACTCCTGAAGAGTTGCTTAATCGATTGGTGTGTTGGTTGTTCATGATTATTATAAAAAAATTTTTTTTTGGGCTTCAAAGTGATATAACCCCTTAAATATCGCTTTTGTGATTATTGAAAAATAAAATCGAAGAATATTCAGCATTATTCTCATTTCATCGTCGAGACTAATGGAATTTTTCAAAAAGCATCTCGAGTTTCTTAACCCAAATCTGCTATGCCAGATGAAAATTCTCCGAAAATAATTTCTCAAACATTATACAGGGTGTTCCGAAATTCATGTACCAAAATTTGGTCATAGATTCTTAAGACAAATTCAGGGGACCCGTATTTTTTAATTATTAGTCAGCTAGAAAGCCATTGAATATAGAAACTTTTTCGTCTCTTGATGTTTGTTTCGTAAAACGCAATGTTTTTGAGGAAAATGGCTAATTAGGATATGCATTCAATCACATTTTGACATTTTTCTCGAAAAGTTTCTAAATTTAATGGCTTTCAAGTGGACTGATAATTTTTAAGAAATTTAAATATGCGACCAAATTTTTTTGGCTCGAAAGACAAGGGGGCCCACGAAAAACTGTCTTAAGGGGGTTCCCCGCCAAAAAACGTTGCACCATCAGATTCCACATGTCGTAAAACCCATGTGTGCCAAATTTAGTGATTCTCGTACAACAGGGTTCTGAGATATAAAAAAAAGATTATTCTTAGGGGGCGAACTTCAGGGGGCTGTAACTCCGGAAGACGGCAAAAACAAAAAATACGGGTCCCCTAAATTTGTCCTAAGAATCTGTGACCAAATTCTGTTGCATGAATTTCGAGACACCCTGTATAACACTAGTCCCTGGTTAGATAAACCGACGACGGTTTCTTTAACAACGGAAAAAGCAACTCACCTACACATGTGTTCGGACACGAGCGTCTCAGTGCTGGTCTCGACGGACCTCTCATCTAAAAAAGCGCCGACAGTGCCGCACGAGGTACCGTCTACCTCCCCGCTCACCCTGCCGTCCAGCCCTACTTCGCACTCCACCGCTCGCCCCTCCACGTGCCCGCTCACTTCGTCACTATCATCGTTACGAATGTAGTCCCCGTTCTGGACGGCCTTCTGGCAGGCGCCGTTCAAACTTAAGCCGCCCACATCACTATTAATTCTTTCAGTCTCACGTTTTATCACATTTTCACCTAAAAAATCGGCCGAATCGCCGACTCTTCGCCCCACGCCCACGTCAACGTCACTCCTCGCCGACGGCAAGTGTCTACTGAAGTCGCACTGGTCCAGGCCGTCGATCTGCTCGTCGGTTAGGGTTTCCGTGACGACGGCATCCTTAAACATCAGGCAGTCCTGCTTGCAGTCCACGTCCTCCAAGTCGCTGGGGTAGAAGTCCGGTTGGGCGGTGTGGTCGTGATGGCCGTTCGGGGACATGTTTGGGTCGTGTTGAGGTATATCCGGGGCTAAGACAGTCAACTTACTGCGGAAAGAACAAGTTTTATTATTTCCATTTCTTTATCGTACAAATTATTATTATCTGATCAGATCGCTAGAAATAAAATAAATCATTCTCGTCAGCAGAACCACCAGACACATACTGGTTTCAACTTATTAGATCTCAACACCATCAAACTTACAACAAAAATTTTAACGTGTGTTTACAATTTAACGTTGGGAAGTAGAATTGCAGTTTTAGTCTCATAAATGGGCAATCTAGATTGGCGAAATTAACGAAATTACGAAAAACGTAACAGCAAAAAAACCCATCCCAAAACAACAAGAACGGAAAAGCGATCGACCGAGACACTTACGAATCACAATTAATACTGGGGTCGCTACAACGTCTGTACTGGTTCTGACAAAAGTCCCCCACGTTCTTCAGGTCGCCGTAGGAGCGGGTCTTGGTCATGTGGCGCGGGGACAACTCCGGCGGCCCGGGGTACCAGCTGGGGCCCACCTCGGTGTTGAAGTTGATCTCCATGGAGCCGAGGTACACCTCGGACCACAGTTTCAACTCCCTCACGTTGCACTGCGGCCACAACACCTGAAAACGAAGCAAAAAAACTAGGTCAGGAAAGGGGCGGCCCGGGAGGCAGCTCGAAACTCGCCTTCCGACTGGAAGTGATGGTGAGGGGCGCGTACAGGTGGTTCCTGAAACAGGGCGAGTTGAGGAAATCCCATACGGAGAAGGTCTTGTCGTTGACGGTGCTCAGGCGTTCTTGTAGCGTATTGCACAGGAACGTACCGAAAAGGTTGGAGTAGATGTGCTGCGCTAGCTTGACCTGCAAAATACAGAGAAAAGTTGAGGGAAAGGCGTTTTTTCCCGACGTCTCCATAATTACCAAGTACGTTGGAGAGAACTCGAATGCACAGGGATACTGCGCCTGGACTTGGTGGATGCAATCCAACCACTGCAAGAAAACGGGACACCTCTCGTTCTGGTCATCGCTGCCCGAGGAGTGGCCGCATCGGTCGGCGAATTTGTGGCCGAACGCCAGCCACTCTCGCTCGATCAGGATCCGGAAGCCCTGAAATTTGTCTTTTGTCACAGAATTCTGAAGTTGACACGATCAAAAAAGGAATTAAGGACTTTTCAAAAAATCATCAAACTTTTGTTACTGACTGTAAATGCCGGCACTCACATCTATCGTTCGGTAGTAAGGATCGAGCAGTAGTTCGGCCAATGCCACGATCTGCGGTGTTCGATCCCAGCCATCCGAGCAATGCACGAGGACAGGCCTTTCGTCCCTCTCCACGGCGGTGACCAGCGTCAGGGCGGCCTTCATGAGACCCGACATGTGCTGTAGCCAGCGCGTGCCCTCCAGCTGACTGAACCAACTGGAAAAATTTGCAATTACAAAGCACGATTCCATTTCTGGACGAAAAACGAATTTGGCAAAACAAATCTGCCACCATTTCGTTTCATTCTATCTTTGGTAATTTCACAATTTTTACAGTAGCAAAGTAATACATTTATTGGAACTGAAATAGAATTTGTACGGCCCGGTGTCGTGTTTTATTTTTGTTTCTTTCTGTGTATTTTTGAATAGGACTCAAGTGGTATTTAGTGAAGCGTTTTGTAAAGTTTAAGTGTATAAATCTGACAAAGTTATTTATGTCTAAAAAATATTCAGTTTCCATGATGGAATTTGAAAGAAAATAAAATGAAAAACAACCTATATGGATTATAGTCCAAGCATTATAGAGAAATGCTTACAGAAATTACTACCTGGACAAAAGAATATGACCGTATAGAAAATTAAATTTTAAATTGAGTTTCTTGTTCTTTAAACTCGATCCAAAATGGCGAACACGGTTAAAAAAAATCGCAAAGTTGCAAAAAACGGTTTTTCTAAATAAACTAAAAAAATATAGCACCGATTGAAAAATTTTAAATGACAAAGTTGTAGGTTTTAAAAAGATCTATCGACTGATTTTTTGTAAGTATCGATTGCTTTGTTACTTTTCGAGACATATCGAAAAACCCGTTAAAAATCTTCTCTTTTCTCTTCTTCTATAACTCGTTTACATCTACGTTCCCGTACTTGCTATTTACTGCAAGCATAGCCCGCGGCAAACCAAAAAAGTACATCTTTGAAAAATTTAAAAATATTAATTATTTTTCGATATATCGATTTTTTGAAAAAAAGGCGCTCTCGAAAATTGGCTAGATCTTCTCAGCGGATAGCCCTACAGTGACGATTTTCGGTTTATTTTCTTTGTAAAGAGTTATATTATCATGCTGTTAAAAAATGTTGACTTTTTTTTTAATTTTAAGGATAAAAAAAATGACTGAAAAAGTTGCACTTTTTTGGGTGTTTTTTTTTCAAATAACTACATATTTCAATTTTCATTTTATGAAAATGACTTTTAAAGAAAGAACCTGCTGACATTTTTTCAGGAATTTAAAAAAAAAAATGTTTTCTACGACCTTCTGGAGCCGAGATCATTTTTGTATTATTTACGTGCAGTCTAAATGGCTCGCGCTTGCAAAATCTTTGGTATCTCGGCTTCTGGACCACATACAAAAATTCTTTTGTACTTAATCTGGGGTAGCTAAACCACGAATATTATAGTCATTTTCACCTTAGAAGCAAAATAGTCCCGTAAATGTTTAGTTTTTATTAAACTTATATATTTATTTTACATTTATTATACTTCTTTACGAAAATATGGACGACGAACAAGAAAATGAATCAAAAGACAATCCGACAAAGAATAGAAGAATTTCATTCGATAAATAATTTTATCTATTCAGTTTGTTGTCAATAGTGGGAAAATTAAAGGCCAAATTTCAAGAAAAACACCAAATTTTCTCAATTGTCGACATTTCGTCACTTATCGTGACATACAAAATATACATACATATTTTAATACATGATCTTGATGTATGTGTACGCTATTCTATACCTATATCTATACTGTCCAAGATTGTTATATGACATACTATGTATAACGAGACTAGGAAAACACAGTGAAGCACTTAAATCTGTAATTGTCCTGAGGATGTCATGATAAGTGACGAAACGTCGACAATTGAGAAAATTTGGTGTTTTTCTTGAAATTTGGCCTCTAATTTTCCCACTATTGACAACAAACTGAATAAAAATAAGGCTACCAATATCATTAGTTAGAATTTTATCTATATCGGATACTTGTTAGTTTTCATTGTAATAATTTTATAGATATTTTATACATAGTTGTATAATTATTAAATATTTTTGTAAATAAATTAAATTCTTTAAATTTTTTTTACACCAAAATTAATTAATTATTGAAATGATGAAGTAATTGTTAAAAAGCCAGCAACAAGTAGGTACAACGTCAGTATTATTAATGAAGCAAAAAAATTAAGGTATTACACGAAAAATACCCTAATCATTAAAATGACGATAAATGCAAAAATAATTGTAATTTAAATAAAAACTAAACATTTACGGGACTATTTTGCTTCTAAGGCGAAAATGACTATAATATTCGTGCTTAGCTACCCCGGATTAAGTATTAAAGAATTTTTGTACGTGGTCCAGAAGCCGAGATATCAAAGATTTTGCAAGCGCGAGCCATTTAGACTTCACGTAAAAAATACAAAAATTATCTCGGCTCCAGGTCGTAGAAAAACATTTTTTTTTTAATTCGTGAAAAATGTCAGCAGTTTCTTTCTTTAAGTCATTTTCATAAAGTAAAATTTGAAATATGTAGTTATTTGAAAAAAAAACACCCAAAAAAGTGCAACTTTTTCAGTCATTTTTTGATCCTTAAAATTAATAAAATCGTCAACATTTTTTAACAGCATGATAATATAACTCTTTACAAAGAAAATAAACCGAAAATAGTTACTGTAGGTCTATCCGCTGAAAAGATCTAGCCAATTTTCGGGAGCGCCTTTTTTTCAAAAAATCGATATATTGAAAAATAATTAATATATTTAAATATTTCAAAAATGTACTTTTTTGGCTTGCCGCGGGCTATGCTTGCAGTAAATAGCAAATATGGGTACGTAAATGTAAACGAGTTATAGAAGAAGAGAAAAGAGAAGATTTTTAACGGTTTTTTCGATATATCTCGAAAAGTAACAAAGCAATCGATACTTACAAAAAATCAGTCGACAGATCTTTTTAAAAACTACAACTTTCTCATTTAAAATTTTTCGATAGGAGCTATATTTTTTTAGTTTATTTAGAAAAACCGTTTTTTGCAACTTCGCGATTTCTTTTAACCGTGTTCGCCATTTTGGATGGAGTTTAAAGAACAAGAAACTCGATTTAAAATTTAATTTTCTATACGGTCATATTTTTTTTTGTCCAGGTAATAATTTCTGCAAATTTAACATTAATCCGTGACAGAATGCTTGGACTATTATGATAGAAATGTGTATGTAAGTAGTACGCCATTTAGCAGATGAAGATTCCCATTAGATTTAGCTCCTAAATCTTATAACTTGCCGCCTTTAAAAATAAGGCACTACTAAAAAATGGAAAAAGAACTAGAGGTCTTACTTGGGCTGGTCGGCCGAGGAGGTGCAGAGCTGTCTCAGAGCGTGGAAACTCTTCCTTATGGAATGTATGTTGGCCAGGTTCATGAACTGGATCTCGCAGTTTGGATAATACTCGGGGCATTCACAACCGCCGCCTCTCGCCCTGTTGGCTACCGCGGTCGTGTACGACCTGGCATCCATTATTAGTACCTAAAACACGTATCATTAACAATCGACAAGACTTCTACCGATGACCCCCGCCCCTACCTTCTTTTCCGTCTGGTTGATCTCGTTGGTGAACTGCAACGAATCGTCAGAATGCAGCGAGCCGGGAGAATGCGACAAGTTGGACTCCTTCTCAAAGTTGGCCCTCTGGGAACGGTCGAAGTTGCAGGCCGCCGAAATGGCCTTTATCAGCTCCTCGTCGTGATCCGAACGCCAACCCAGCCAGCCCACTTCCGGCTGGCTGCAGCGTGCTATGACCGCCCCGTTCCTGGTATGCCTTCGAAAAGTACGAGATTATAATCGAGAAATAAAATCGGGGATGGCGAAAAGGAATTTACCTCCAAACGGCAGCAGGTATCCTCCTGGAGCTCCTGAACTTGGCGACGTTTTCAAGCACATCGTCGTTAATACAAGACGGAACCAGGAGATAGGGAGGATAGGTGGGACACAGCTTGTAATTTTCATTCACTTTAGATATCCTCCATGAATCACCTTCGAATTGTAGTCGAATCATCTAAGTTTGACAAAGAAACATACAGGGTGTTGATAAAGTACATCGACAAACTTTAAGGGGCGATTCGCTGTCACACTCAATTAACATCGTGTATATACGTATACGTACCGACACATTCGTATCTCGACTTACCTCGTTGGCAAACATCTCCTTGTCGAACGTGTACCTTCTTTGGTTCTCTAACCTCCTAATCACCTCATCGTAATCCTTCTGCTTCGACCAGAAGAAGTGGTAAAAGGCGAACAATTGCTTTATATCTCTAGACGGCTCGGCGGCCTTAACAATGCGGTTATACCATTCCAGGCACTCTTCATTGTTCTCAAAGGTGCACCTATTAGGGACATGAAAATAAAATAAATAAAACACCCGTGATCTACAGAATACTGTTCAACTAACTATACAGGGTGTGGCGTGTATAATCTATAAAAGTTAAATTACAGCTTCCTGATGATATTATTTGTAATAGAAAAGTCTTATACGAAAAAGTTTTATCTTCGCGTTTTTTTTTTTTATAAATCAAAGTTCATTGATTCAACGAAAATGAAGGCCGACCCTGTGTTATTTATTAAAAACTTTGGAAATGTTTTTAAGCGACCCGAGATGCAACCTTATAATTTAAGTCGGTATAATCTAATACCAGTAATACTAAAAGAAGGTTAGGTTACATTGTCAAAACTGATTTTGTATTTGTATTGAATTCATTATTCACTTAATTATTAAATATTAAGCATAGTCCATCGGCCCATCAGTGTTAAAGATTCCAGACAAAAGTTTTTATTTTGTAATTCCACAATAATGACGGTGTAATTTTTATAAAGTAAAAAATAAAAATAGCGTGCCTATTACATTAAAAACGAGATTCTTATTTCTTACTTTGCTTAATTTTTTAGTTTGTGCACAAACTAGTTTTATAATGAACCGAGAAAAAAGGATGTATTTACTATTTCTGAACGTAGGAACAATTGCCACAATGTCACCCCCCATTTGCAAATATAATCCAACAGTACGTTCAGCAGCTGCGAGATATGGGAAGTGTTATTTCTCGAGGAGAAGGACGTGGTCAGCTAATTAATCTCGTACCGTACATCGCCTCTTAAGGCACCAGGTGTTGCACCCCTATCATCTGCAGCCAGTTCCAAAGATTTTACCCCCGGATTGTGATCAACGAATGCATTTCCTGCTTATGTTTGTGTAACAGATGAGGCGACATTTACCCGTGATGAAGTGAATTTCCATAATATGTACATATGAGCCCATGAAAATCCTCACGCAATTAGCGAAACTCATTTTCAACATCGGTTCTCGGTAAATGTTTGGGCTGGCATAATAGACGACGTACTTGTGGGTCTCTATTTCATTGAGGGATGACTAAATGGTTCAACATATGCTGACTTGGAGAACCGGTTGCCTGAATTATTGGACGATGTGGCATTACAAGTTCGGGCAAACTTGTTTTATCTACAAGATGGGGCTCCACACAATAATCGAGAAGTAACGACACTTTTTAATGAAATGTTTCCTCAATGATGAATTGGACGCTTTGGTCTTGTGCCGTAGCCACCTCGGTCACCCGATCTAACTCCAATGGACTTTTATCTTTGGAGTCAATTGAAGTCATTGGTTTACAATACTCCAATTGCTACGATGGAAAAATAGCAAAACCGTATACTTGAAGCTGCTGGCACAATTAGGGGAATACCTGGAATTTGGGAAAATATTCGCCAAAATTGGGTGTGTCGGTGCCATGCCTGTAACCGCGATAATATGGGGATCAATATCAACATTTTCTCTAGAAATGGTGTTTTATTTCATTTTATTCCATATTTCAATGGAGTTTGTTTAGTGCACGCAGTTGGCAACTGCAGATGCCTATGGTGTGGTTTTGTTTGCGAATAAGAAAATATCAGTTTTTTTTTAAATATCTATTTTTCTTAGTTTGTAGTTGCATTGAAAAATTCCTCAAAAATTGAAAAGTATGTTTCTATCTTTCAATGACGATTTGTTTACGCGGCTGGTCTACAGCAGAGAAAATATTTTGATCCATAATTGAACTTTAATTTACCAGAAGAAAAAAATTGAACTTTTTCGTATAAGACTTTTCTATTACCAATATCGTTAAGAAACTGTAGTTTAATTTTTTTAGATTATAAACGCCACACCTTGTATGTAAGACGAAAACTTCCTCATAATTATACAAGTTCCGGCCAAACAATTAAAGTATATAAACATTTTCCAATTTAAAAATAGACTTTAATGTCCCCATCAATGTGACCACCACGATTGTTTAAACTTACAAGGGTAAAACCGCTCTGATGTCACAATAGAGCACGAGAAAGTTTAGAAGTGTAGAAATCGACTTTATTTTATTGTTAACAAATTTAGGAATTCAAGCCCGTCGTTGAAAGACCTAAAATAACCCTTATAAAAATAACTTTGTAATTTCTAATAGGCCAATAAGAATTTTATATAGATGTAACGCACGGGTGTAACAATTGGTTCACATTAATTTGGAATCGGCCTGGAAATTAAAACCCTATACATAAGATTAGAACAATCTTAGTTACAGATCTATATAATTTTCATGGCATGCCTAACGACTCTTGTTTACGAAGAATGACGTAAAGAAAAGGTCACGGCTTGATATTGATCTGACAGAGTCAACAGTCCCTCCGAAGCTGTTTATTATAAACGTTCCATTATTTATTCTAAACAAGAGATAACTCCTAGTTATAGAAACTGGTACGCTCATTATTTTGTTTAAATGAGCAAAGTTATCTACTCTGACGTTAAATTTTGACAAGTTTCATAAAAATTTGAACTCAAAACATTAATTTTACTGAGGCAAAAAAAAACTGAAATTTCCACTTTCCTTAAACTCGTGAAACATGGTAGAAAATTGTGAGATGTCAACTGCGAATACAGGGGGAGGGAGAGATTTTTTTGATGCAAAATGAAAACAGTATCATTTTGATGCAAAATGAAAACAGTACCATTTTATCACCCTGTATATTTCTACTGTAAGTGGTCACCAAGGTCACTTTGATACAGTCAGGGCTCCGCATGAGGTTCAAAGTTTATTTTTATCGCGATTACATAACCAAATCCAATTCAATTGTAACTGGATAAATATCGATGGGGCCAGAAGTGAATTGTAACCATTTAAAAACAAATCTTATGTAACAATATTTAAATATAAGCTGCAATGTTTACTTTTCTTACAAGATGTGCCCGAGCGGCAATTTGTGTTCAGCATAATTTCAGGGTGTTCGAATAGGGCATGACGAGGTGTTACATTTCAAACGACAGAATGTGAAAAGTGTCAAGTCAAAACATTTGCTATAAATAATTGCTGTCAAGATTTTATAAATGGCTTAATTTCTATAATATTGCCCTTTTTAATGTAATACTTATGGTTGAAATGATATTAAAATTTGATTGAGATATTTAAGAACGAGTTTGGTAACGCTCAAATATGAATATTCCATGAAAACCCAGTTTTTGTGATGGAAGACTGTACCACAAGCGCAACATGTTAGAAAAGGGTTATTGTTATTGCAAGGCAACAGTTTTTAGCATGTTACTTTCGAATGGGTTGCTTCTACAAATCTTTGAAGTCCATGGGTTGGTTTTAATGGGGCCAAAAGATCGGAAATGTCTTACAAATTTTGTATGGATATCTTTTTCTCTAATTCTTATAATAAATCCTTTACCGAATATCAAAATATACATAAACCCAGGTACATTTTTTTGGTTTGTATCGTATCCAATAATTATAAATCAAGAAGATCAAGTATAAGAATGTCATCTTAATTAGTGATAAATTTATGCCATTCTCTTGATAATTGTTTCTAGTCTACGGTTTTGTAAAGACCTAGAGAAACACAAATAGCAAGTAACCGTAAACTATAGGCATGTATGAAAAATAATATTCATAATTTAATATAAAAGCTTTAACGTTATTGGTTTTTTAATGAAAAGACTGCAAATTATTGTTTCAAGTACCATTTTTTCTCTAATAAATCTATTTTGTCACAAAATGATATTTGTATATTTGAATCTCCATTTAAATAATCAATTCTAAAGTAAACCTTTGAATGAAGAGAATTTTTCTCGAAGAAAATAAAACTTAATCCTTTCGGATTAAGTTTTATTTTCTAACTGATTAACCTAACCTGATTTGATCTTTCGTAAATTGACACTTACTTGTATGTTCTGGCATCTTTACAGCCGATGTGAAGGTAGAACAGCTCTCTGGGTTCAACGACTTCGATGAGGCCCAGGGGAATATGGTAGTGATTTTTGCCATTCTGGAGATACAAACGGTAGTTTGTGATAAGAATGGCCCCGTCCACGGATTTTCCGCAATGCACTTTATTTTCTCCCGTCAGGAGGCCAAATGGTAGGTTCTTGGTATCGGTGGATTGTAGTGGGTACATGCAGATGGGGTCCACATGGTATAGCGAATTTGGTTGATCGGTATTATCCATTGTCCTTTGAGAGCGGTAAAAATGATTGATGTACCGTTAAATAGTAATAAAATAAGTATCAGCTTTTTAAAATTAAAAAATTCATATGTGAAAAAGTTAAAAAAACGTCCAATAACAAGACTGATTTTATTTTATTTAGACATAACCAAAATTCATTTATTTGAATTTGATACAAAATTTATGATTCAACCCAAGGTTTGACGAAATCCCTTGAATCGACTTTATAATTTTTTAGATATTTGTGATCATTTACTTAACCATATTTTATAATTTTTGGTTGATAGCAAACAATATATACAGAAAAAAATATATTACTGATAAGACCAATCAAATATTAGTCGCGAGAGGTTATAATATGCAATTAACACTTTGATTGTGTCCCTACGCTACTCATATCATTCTTTACTTACTTATCATCTGGTAGATACATTCCCTTTATAAACATTATCAATGCTACTTGAGGCACAATATACGGAATAATAAAAAGTGTGGTGTTGGAAAAATAACTGGCACTTCAGCAAGATCGGGACTGTTTAATAACAACACTTGGCAAAATTTCAAAATCTAACGAAATATGCTAATCATGTTTTCATTACTACAAAAAGTTGAAAGAAAACAACCTTTTCACTATCAAGAACGGTCCGTTATAAACACTTTCTAACATTGAGATAGGCAATAACAAATCTTGTCCTACACAATTTTATCGTTAACTTGAAATTTGCACATATCGTATTTCGCGCAAAATTTAATAATACATTTTATTTTTCACCTTGACTTTCATGTTATCTTGCTATCAGTTTTTAACGAATTTCTGTGCTGTGGTTTAAAATATCACTGTTTACAAAAAGTACATGGTGTTGTCAATAATACCTACTATAAAATAAAAATATGTTGGTTTCATTAGGGAGCCGAATGTGACGGACGGACAATTTGCAATCTATAAAGGAAATCAGTGCCACTACCACAGAAACTTGGACAAGGGCATTTTATCTCATATTATAGTGCACTAATTACTACACATCTTCAAATGTCAGGCATAGGGAAATCGTTAATTTCTATAACCCGGAGATTTCTCGAGTAAACAAGTTCGGCCACTGAGTACTGAGGAGGAATAAATAAAAATACGGTACGAATTTGTTTACAAAAATGTCCTTAGAAAAGTGTTAGATTGTGAAATGTCAAATGCAGGTGAAAAGGGAATATATAATAGGTACTTACTCTGTATTTACCATAAAGAATAGGCGCCTAAACTTTTAGATCAAATGATAACACCATTTCCCTCGAGATAAGATAATAAAGATAATGGTATTATAAATAAATATGCCACCTTCTCGTAAATAGATAACACACGAAAACGTCCTTGTGACATACAATCAAAATGGCGTATGTGACGTCGAGGGGTGACTCGTGGCGACACCTATCGTTAATCTCATTTATTTAAATTTTACAGCTCCTACGCGTATGCAGCCAACCATACACAGCACCGATATGGTGTGTAAACGACATGACGTACATAATTAATTACTCTATTCAGGTGCTCTTATTCCAGCTAGTGCGCTGGTCGCCCCCTTCGTTAACGACCAGTTTACGGATAGAGCCTATTTATTATTTTAACTTACGAAGGAGGAGTGTTAATATCGCTATATGTGCACCACACATTATTCGAAATATATAAATGGTGCTCCCACCCACCTCCTATTAATACTGGAACAGTTTTTTCTTACTTAAGGGAAACTTTGTCTGAAATCATGGACACAACACCCATTTTTAATATAAAAAAATGTATTTGGCAGTATATTTTACAATATTACATCCCTATCTTATCGATTCGGTTGTACAATGTCGATTGACTGTTCTGCTTCTGCGGTTGCGCTCGGGTAGGGTCGTCCAGTCCCACGACCCAATACAACGACTCGCTACGGTAAATAATCAACAATGCGTGTTACAAAACAATACCTCTATTTTCAGAATTCACAGTAACATACAAAATAATGAAACACAATTAACCTATATGTACAGTTGACGAATCTCGGCGCTAATCTGGCGGACAAATGTCAAACTAACTGACAGGTGGACAGTCTTTCGTTCTAAGGCGCAGTTGGATGCCCGCCGGCTGGATTAGCGAGGAGAATGCGGGAGTTCCCCCGAAGGGAGCTGTTCATTTATTTAAAGTAACGTTAGATTCAACAGAGAACGTAAGGGTCGTGAAATAAAATTTTCGCTCTTACGCAAGGTGATTAAAAGTGAAATAGGGCTATTACGGGTCACTAAAAGTATGCATTACAGGAAATAATCGGCTTGGGGTTTCTTCGAGGGGATGCCTCTGGTCTCCTGTGGGGCCGCCTCGAATATGGTGAAGTCCCTTTGTAAATGTTCGTTCAGTTCTAGTATGGCGGCCACGTTGCCGCACCTGAAAAAAGGACGGTAAAAAGTAGACAGGCTACGGTTAAGGCGGGCGTATGCCAACCCACGGCTAGCCATATTCAAGAAATTAGACATAAATAAAAACTTTGTAGCTTATGAGATGGCGGCAAGATTTTTTTTTTATTCATGTAAATCACTTCTCTTATGGTCCAGACGGTATCTGTTTCAAAGAATCCATATTTGGGTGAATCGTATATCCACGGAAATTTCTGCCTTTTTTGTTTTTGAAATATTACTAGAAATGAAAATTTTTCTATGCGCATAAAAAAAAACGTGGGCTTAACTTTTGGCGGCACAATATGTTAAAAAAATTCGAAGAATGTCATATTTTTCTTCTTATTTAATTATGTATCTTTTCAAGAGTTGATTTTAGGCGAAAATGGAAGAGGAAAAAAATGTTTGCAATTAAATTTTTTACAAAACATGTCTAGTTAAAAATCGAATGAATCATGATTATTATGCTAAAAATCGAAAAAATCGCAAAAATGGGGTTAAAAACAATACTTTTTAGGGAATTTTTTTGGGGTCTTTAAATTGGGTATAGGACCTTCATACTTGGCTCAAGAAAGGTTCATGTTATGTAGAATCATCACAACAAATCTCGTCAAAATCGGTTCGATAGATTTTGCATAATAATTTTGCAATCCAGATTTTGTAAAAAAATTTGCAAATTTTCAATATTTTGCACAGCAATAACCAAGGCCCTTAGATACTTGAAAATTTAATCACATATAGAAGGGCTCTCAAGCTTTCAAATGCTTTTTGAAAAATTCGAATCTGTCAATTAGGAGAGCTCTGGCGCTTGTTTAAACATTGGTCGAATTTTTGTACTATAATTTTGTATTTTTGTAATATAATGAGTTAATTTCTCATTTGCTTATATTTTAAACAGTAAATAATATTTGAATTATACTTTAATCACAAAAGAAATTATGTTAATCATCATTTCTTTTATATAATTAATTACTAATTTTCAACATATTCTGAAAATAATTGTCGTTTAAACAATTTTAGAATATTTAAATAAATTTATTTCTGATCCTTGATAAACAGTATATAAGTTTATGCACTACCTTTGATACAATAAAAAAATAAAGTTGATAATTAAAGGAAATTTAAAGATAAATAATTATCGGACTGTTGAAAGACCAATAATTATTAGTAATGATAGGCATTTGAAAATACGCTAATTGTTTTTTTTTAATCGCAAGACATCGATTTAAAAGAAAAATCATCCTCTAGAAGCTGAGATATTAAAAATTTGTTAAGCGTGTCATGGTTTTGAACTCGCCGATTGAATTTCAAGCAGGCCGAAGCGGCTGCGCTCTCTGCTTCCCCACCACCACCACCCGAACGATTTTCTTGAATTTCTCGCTTGCATAAATAACTTTAAACGCGTTTTAAAGTAGGTTGCCAATGAAGAAAAGTATTGCAAACTTAGACCTGGTAAGAACTCGGAATACCAAAGGTATTTTTCGAAAAATTAACCCGGATGTCCCAGTACATTTTGTGTAAATGACGGTTAACTTTGATCTGGTATAATTACGTGACTAATTGACCAATCGATCTGTTTTTTTTTAAAAGAAGCGTCTTTCCAAGAACTTTTAAAACCTGCTTTAAAAAATTTGATTAGATTGATTGATTGAACAAAGTTATTCTAATTGTTTATAAGTACAAAAATTCGACCAATGTTTAAACAAGCGCCAGAGCTCTCCTAACTGACGGATGCGAATTTTTCAAAAAAAGTTTGAAAGCTTGAAAGCCCTTCTATATGTGATTAAATTTTCAAGTATCTAAGGGCGTTGGTTATTGCTGTGCAAAATCTTGAAAATTTGCAAATTTTTTTTCAAAATATGGATTGCAAAATTATTGGAAATTTGTTGTGATGATTCTACATAACATGAAGTTTTCTTGAGCCAAGTATAAAGGTCCTATACCCAATTTAAATACCCCAAAAAAAATCCCTAAAAAGTATTGTTTTTTAATCCCATTTTTGCGATTTTTTCCATAATAATCATGATTCATTCGATTTGTAACTAGTCTTGTTTTGTAAAAAAATTAATTAAAAACATTTTATTCCTCTTCCATTTTTGCCTAAAATCAACTCTTGGAAAGATACATAAATAGGAAGAAAAATATGACATTTTTCGATTTTTTTTACATATTGTGCCGCCAAAAGTTAAGCCCACGTTTTTTTTTATGCGCATAGAAACATTTTCATTCCTAGTGATATTTGAGAGCCAAAAAGCCAAAAATCTCCGTGGATATACGACTCACCCAAACCAAAACAGATACCGCCTAGTCTATTATACGAAGTAATATTTCGGGTGCCACAGCTACAAAATTCGGTATTTTGTGATATAGTTTTCAGCCAAATGACACAGAGGAATCTTGTTATCAGAACCAATAAAACATACAGTTTTATCGCTCCACTTAGTGTTGTAAAAAAAATGTACTAGATCAAACAAGCCTTTTGTTTTAAACGCCCTTTAGAGCTAACAACAAGAAACAAAATGGACATCATGGTGGGGTTCAAAAATTCCTATGTACAGCCGAGAAAGTGCAATATAAGTCTGTAATTCGAGGCGACCAGGTACATCAGCCACGACATAACAACCTTAAAACCGCTATCGTCCTATTTTGACTGTTTGTTGATTTGATAAAATTGTTAAACCTAAATTATTCAAAATACTGCAAATACAAGTGAAAAGACGAATAAGTATTTACATCACAAAAATACAAGATATTTTCATTGAAATTTTTAATATTTTCAAAATAAAATCAACCAAAAAAAGCCTTATATTTTTTTTCTGAAGTGACAAATAGTAAGCATGGTACTAAACAAATATTTTTCAGGACAAAAGACCTGTTTGATCTAGTACATCCTTTTTGATAACAGTAACTGTTAGAGTAGGGCGATAATCATTTAGAGAACAAAACCGCAAAATGAAAATTGTGAGAAAATTGTACCAGCAAAGAATTTTTTCTTATCGCTCTCACAAAAACAATATAACAAAATACCTAATATTGTAGCCGTGGCACCTGAAAATATTTAAGTATTTAAGTATCATTTATCAGTATTTGTGCATTTTGTCTCCAAACTTGTACTTTTTATATTCGTAATAAATTCATTTGTAAGTATTAGACGGCGATGTTCGCAAGATCGTTTACATATAATTCGGCTAAAGTTTACAATTACAGTTATCGTTTCAGTAGTATATTGACAATCATATTTTGTTATAATACTTTTTATTACACTATCTGTTGGAAAGCAGAAAGAATATTCATACGCGTACAACTTATTGCCCTCTTTCAATTTTGTTTGTACCTACAAACTTTTTTGTTTGTTTCAGTCAGTGGAAGCGCATTTTGTGTGTACACATTTTAGTACATTGTTAATTGTAACCAATTTTGGGTTAAGAGGAGTAAAGATAAGCTGGACTTAGCCCTGTGGTGGTATTAAAGGTGGATTTTGTCATCAGCCATCACAATATAAAGTTGATATTATTTACTAAGCTTTGAATGGGTAAGCTACAAAACATTTAAAATCTTTCGTGGGAATAAAGCTTTTCAACATGGAAAACTATTAGATTCTAAGTTTTAATTTCCTTTTCGGACATGATTCCAATCAACGTCCTGAATGTGAGGAATGTTTGAAATGCCTTTAGCATTTCATTCATTCTGAACAGAATAAACGTTAAGTTAGTAAAAAGTCAGTCCACACTTCGGGACGACTGAACCTTAGAAAAATAGATTGCTGGTATCAAAAGTAGCGGCAATAAATCACAGCTGAAAAGCCAGATGTGTAGCCATTAGGCTATTTTTAAAACTTTCAAGGCAATAGAGAGCAGATAGTGTCGTTTGTTCTGAATCAACAATACTATTTTTTATATCTAGAGACTTTCATGAATAAAATTGGCAATACGCCCGCTTATCAAACTGAATATTTGAGTAAAAATACAAATAGAAAAATAAGTTTTGTTTTAAGTATAACATAATTTAGGTAGAAGAGAAGAATCAAAAATATAAAATATTTTTTCCCGATATTTTTTCTATTTTTAGAGTGGGAAAATGTAAATAATTAATATTGTTATAATTTCAAAATATTTTCGTTTTTTGTTCAAGGTGCTTTGCTGTGATTGGTAGGGAAGACCCCATACCCTCCTTTCCCCTCCCCTCCCGCGCTGGGCTAAGGGCCACCTTAGCAAAGCGCGTCCCAGGCTGCATAGCCGCACTACCCTACCCAACCATACCACACATAAACATGACACTACCCCCGGGGTTTACACAGACGAGCCGGCAAAGCAAGAAGAGCGCCAGAAGAAAGGGCCCTAGCCGGCGGGGCCCAGCCAGGACAAAAGGAGGTCCCACAAAGCGCCTACACCGGCCGCATTTGCGGTCGGGGTAGACGACGGATGGGGCCCGCCTACGAAGGCTGTCCAGGCCTACACGAGATGAGGCAGGATAAAGAGGGAAAATCCCCCTCGATCCCAAATCATTGAGGCCAATTTCTAGCCATGGAATAATGGCGCGGTAGGGAAGATTTGGAAAAACAAAAGATATTCAACTGCGATACTTGTCACACTCTGGATTTGTGTCTAGAAAATTGTTAAACATTTTTATGTACTTAAGACTTATGAAAACATGTACACAAAACCGAATTGTAAAAAGGTTTACTTTTACCTCTCACGTTTATCGTTACGTTTCCTGAATTTTCCACACTCCTTGAACGTACAGAAAATCACATACGGTACTATAAACACAATCACACCCCGCCGAATGTTTTTATGAAACTATTAACACATGAATTGATCACAATTACTACGTACTTTTTACATAATTCTCAACACTAACAGGAAAGGTACATTCCGATGTGGATTTTCCGTGATCCCTCACTGCGAAAAATTAAAGCACTTTTAAATATAAAGATTGACCTGTTTCAGGATTTTTGTCCAAAGTAATTTATTCCTTTCATTTGCAACACACTGTATAGGATCCAAATATTCACTTGGATTTTCATTTATTATTATATTAAATTCATCCAAAAACAAGTAAAAGTTTGATTTGATTTTGAACTTTTTAAATATCGATCAACGTTAAATATGAATTCTTAAAATTTTATCTAAATCTTTAACTGCAGCTTTGTCGCACTCCGATTGGGTCCGTCAATGATACACATAAATACAAAAAAAAAGAACTTTCTCCGCGAAAATCGCCAAAAAATGAGACTCACACACAATAATTATTAGTGGAATCGGCACATACCTGTAGCAGTAATTGGGTGCGGACCATACAGTGAGAACGGTTTCGTTGAAGTGCCACTTATACCCTTCCATAACCAACTGATGGGCTCGGCAGATCATGTCGATGTCGTTGGCGGCATTAAATTGCGCCACTACGTCAGACCCGAAGAGGTAACCGGCGCCCCTGGGAGACACGCCCCATCCCTGAGTGTCTACAAGAAGAAACGAAGGTCAAAATGGTAGGCGTGATGTGAATTATTCGGGAATGCACCTTCCGGATCGCTCCACAGCAAGTCACACATGGGCCCGTCGTGGGGAACCTCCTGTTTGCGGTCGATCACTCTGATTTGGTCGAGGGTCTGAATGGAGGGAGACAGCCCACCGTGAACACAAAATATCTTACCGTCGATTATGGCAGACAGGGAAAGGTAATCGAATATCTCCGTACAGTATCTCCAGACCGTGATGGATCCATATTTCCTCAGACACTCGTCGTAGAAACCGTACACTTGCGTGATTTGGCGGGACTCATGGTTGCCTCGTATCAAGGTTATACGGTCTGGATATCTAACCTAAAATTAATGCAATAAGCAAATGTAATGATATTTGTACCACCTATACACTTACCTTAAGTGCTAAAAGTAATAAAAAAGTTTCTACACTATAAAACCCCCGATCGACAAAATCTCCCATAAATAAATAATTAGTTTCAGGCACATCACCGCCTACTTTAAACAGTTCTTTCAGGTCATAAAATTGTCCATGAATGTCACCACAAACCTAGAAGGAGCGGGTTATTAGGATCGCCACTTTGTTTGTTTGTTACGATAACCTTACCGTAACAGGAGAATCTACACGTTGCACGTTGCTCTCTTCCACCAATATTTCCCTGGCTTTTGCACACAGAGCTTTCACTTCTGCTTCTTTGATAATCTCGCATCTTTTTAGCTGTTCTATTTGTCTATCTAAGTCACTAGTATCACCCATCTAGAACAAATTGAACCATTCTTAGATCATAGTACACATCACGTGGAAAAACTAGCCATCGGAAAGCAAGACGCAAAGTTGTAAAGTAAACAAACCTTGTTAGATATTGGTTTCACATCACTAAATATTCAATTAAAGGTTATGTTGACATATTTTGTGAAAAAAATAATTTCTAGATAGTTCTACTTGCACTCAATTATCTACAAAGCTTAATTAACAAATGAAAAGTTAAAATATGACAACATCTAATACAAAAACATGAAAAATCTTACTTTTTAAACAAAAAGTATAACACAATGCTACACGATCTCCTTAGTCATACGAATTTGTCTAAGCCATACGATCACGTTATGACTCATTAATCGCAACAGGCGACGCCTGCGACGTATATCTGTGCTTAACACAGCCCCATCGCGACGCCGATAAATAGCGTTTTAGTTTAGTAGTTAATCAATAATGTAGAAAAATATTCCAAAATCTTGGTTGATCTGGAGTTTTACATTTATTTATTTCATTACGTTGTTCTTAGAAGGTAGTAGATCAAAATAATTCCAGGAAAAATAAATGAACATCGTTTATCCCCAATGCGACGCGGGAACAATCAACAATCACCAATCGACGCGCAACAATAGACGCTTGCGTTAGCGGGGGGGGATTTAACATGGCGCATTAGCGTTTGTTGTGTAAAAAGCGGTCTCGCGTATTGTTTTTAGTTAGTAAAATTGATATAAAGTTGTATAGATATTTGTGATCGTGTGTGGTGTATAGTGAAGTGTATTGGTGAACCGTTGCAGAATGGGAAATATTCACACTGTAGGACCAAATGAGGCTCTAATAGTTTCAGGTTAGTAAGAAAAATGATTTCAAACGTTTGAATTCCATTTAAAAATCAGGTGGGCCCCTTACAATTGCGACGATGCCCTATATCTACTATAAGTAGGCGCACCCAAAATCGAAGATTTTGAAATTCATCCGAGTTTCTCAGATGAGTAGGTACCTATGTTGATCATTTCTTTTCGACCGCTTGCATGTAAAACAAATCTTCACAATCGGTGGTTTTTATCGTGCAATATTTTTTCTTTTGCAATTAACAATACCTGGACCTACACCTGCAAATGCATTTTAAACAAGGTCGTGTGCAGCTGAGGTAGGTATATACATATACTAATGTACTAGGTTATGTTTTTGTTGTCGTCCGTAATCGTCTTTTAAATCGTACCTACAATAATTTACGTTTCTGTTTATATACCTACCTACTTAATTATTGTGTGACAGGCAGAGGTGTTCTGTGGCTTGTAAATGTCGTGTGCATCGACATTTCTTTAAATAAATTTTGATAGGTACGCCCTTTTTGTTACGAAAAATTATCAAATACGCCTAATCTACTTAATCGATTTAATTTCGCTTTCAGGCGCCTATGAGTCGGACAATTCGTCTCTGAAAGGTCAAGGAATAATGGGAGTTCACTTTGTTTTATTTTCGGCTATTTCGGTTCACTTGTTACAGATTAACACTAATATAGGATAATAGCTATGTTCCATTTTGTGGAAGGTTATCTTCATTGTCGAAAACGAAATTAATTTATTTGTTTTAATATGTGGTTTTTCTGGTAGACGTCAAAATTTTAGACAATTTACAGTAAAAGGGCGCATCTGTTTCTTTTTTCCATAAATAAGATATGGAATAAAATTTATTTTAACCCGCATCTAGATGTATAGATGTGTACATATATAGTTAATTAAATATTTTAAAAACTATTAAATATGTAGGTACTACTTAGTTGTACTGTCGAAATGCAGCAAATTATAAATACGTAGTTAGTCTATATTTACATTTGTTTATATAATATTCTCGTATTGTCATGATGAAATCCGTTAGGTAGGTATACCCGAGGGTACACCTTTTACCACAGGATAGGTAGCTACTTTAGATTAGAGACTAGGTTTTGAAACAGTAGGTATGATCATTAATGGATTATTACATTATTTACATGTGAACATATAAAAAGAAAAATATGAACATATTTATTTGTTTCTTTGACTATTTACTTACTCTTAATTTTAAGGTGTGGCAACATATTATTTATCATTGTCTTCAACCGTTTGTTTTATGTTTAAAAAGTTAAAAAAGTAGTTACTTAGAACTATAGAACCGTTTACTCAATTACATTTCATTTATCTGTTATTTATTTAAAGTTACCAGAAATGCAACGTTGACATGTTGACAAAAGAAAAAGAGAAAATTCGTCAAAAAAATAGCTCTATATGTATGTCCTAAACGATCTTAAGCTGCCTGTGGATAATATTTTCTATGAACGATCACTTAATTTCTTTAAATTAAGCGTTTATGTGTGCAATTTTTTGTCCAGCATTTTAGAAGTTTGAAGCAATATCTCTTCATTGCACCAATTATATAAGTTTTCTTTGGGGTACTTATAAGACAACTGACAATAATACATTCAAAATAAGGAAAACATTTTTTTATCTCGAATGATTCCTGAATTGTGCACGCTTGTTGGACATACAGAAAATACATTCTACAAATACTACAAACATAATCACACCTCGCAGAATGCTTCTAGGAAACTGTCACCAGACGCATTAATCACAATTTTTAGAAATTTGTCGGACAAAACAGGGAAAGGAGCGTTTTCTAATGTTTACATGTTCTCCGTTATCTTTCACTGGGAAAAACAGGGTGAAAAATTAAAGGAATTTTACTAAAAGTGCTATATCTTGTCAATTTAAAACGCCATTGTATTGTATTTATTGTCGTATAACTGGTTGCCTATTATCTAATTTGAAGGAAAGTAAATACAAATCACTATAATATACCAATACAATACCTACAACTTTTATGTAGGGCTTGTTGAAATGTTCTACATATCGTACGGTCAAGTTGGAAAAGCTATTTAAAATGCCAGACTTATGGATTGAAAATGCGCACAGAGAACCACAATAGTCGAAATACGATGAGATATGGATATATGACTATTTTACAATATTGTGCAAGTAGTAAATTGCAGGAATTTGATATGAATCTATTGTTTGATAAATTTGATGACGTGTTTCTGGATATATCAATATAAATCAGTAATCTCCATATACCGGGTAGGGCATTTATCTTGAGACAAAATAATATCTCGGTTGGACTCGATTATTTCGAAAAAAATCGTAGGGCACCGAGGTCCATATTATGATTTCCGGCCTAGACCGGAAGTGGAATTTTTAGATCGGAAGTTGATTCTTTTAAATGGAAACACCCATTTTTTACCACTGATTTCGATTGAAAAACGAAAAAAAAAACTATTTTTTTTTTTTGGATTTAACCGATATAAAAAACAAGAATCTTGTGACAACGGAGTGTCTTGTTGGGATCACTTTTTTTAAAAAAAATATTTCATATAAAAGTTGTAGAGTGAAAAGGGGGCTATCTTGAAATGACCTCGACTCCAAGTTCGTTTGAAGATCAAATTCAACATTTTAAATGGTACCCTCTTTTTTGACCTCGGAAATTGCAAGAGCGGGAAGTTTTACAATAAAATATGAACTTAATCTCAAGAATCAGATTAACGTCGAAAAACTATATAATCATTAACTACTTTTAGCACTACCCAGGAATAACGACGTGGACGTAGTAGCTTTTTATTCCCTTTGGGGTGCTTGTTTTCGGTAAAATAAAAAAAAAAATTCAGATTTCTGAAGAAATTTTGAATAAGTCAAGGGCATGTCAAGATAGCCCCCTTTTCACCCTACAACTTTTGTTTTGTTTGTTGTTTTTTTTTTTATGACCATGTTGTGGCCAAAATATGGGTTAAATCCAAAAAAAAATCCAAAAAGTATTTTTTTTTCGTTTTTCAATCGAAATTCGTGTTAAAAAATGGATTTACTGAACAAATTTTGGCAAAAACGAGATATTTTCGACAATTTCACTGGCCGAGGTATCACCTGTAGGTGTCGTAACCTGTCTTGGAAAAATATAAAAGTATGGAAAAAAAAGATGTAACTTGTATGACGTAATTTTATACGTGATCCATCACTGTGGTGTGTGGGATCTGATGTGTGTAATTTTACAAAAATTTTCATGACTATATTGGAGCTTTATTAAAAGAAAAATATCGATTATTTGTAATCTGCTGCTGATGATGATGATAGATATGTCATTTAACTCTCACAGATGTTTAGATGGACTATAGGTACATTTTAAAAAGTTCCTGGTCAGTCGTTGTGTGTGACCTTCGCCCTATAGCGTATTCTTCCATAGGGTTAAATAGTTTTTATCATCACTTCACTGCCCCCAAAACCTCTTGATGACGTCCGAAGCCTTTTCGCCCACCATCACTGCCGGCGCGTTGGTGTGGGCGGAGAGCGCGTGCGGGATGACGCTGCAGTCCGCTACCCTCAGTCTGCCAATCCCGTACACCTGGAGGTCGCCGTTAACCACGGCCGCCGGATCCTCGGGGGGACCCATCTTAGCCGTACCCACCTGGTGGTGCAGCGTCAGACTCAGCGCCCGCAGCGCGCATTCCCAGTACGCGTCGCTGTCGAAGACGAGGCGGGCGCACAATGGCACGGGCCTGGGGTTGAGGCGTGAACCGTACCTCCTGAAGGGACCCGTTTCGGATAGCTTCTGCACGACTCGTACTGCCGCCAGCAACGTCTTGACGTCCTCGTCGTCCGAATCAGTGAAGTAGTTGCCGTAGAGGAGAGGCCGGTCGTAGGGGTTCGCCGATCGTAGCTCCAGGTGGCCGACAGACCTCGGGTGCAACAGCATGGGAAAGACGGTCCAGTGGTGCAGGCCCTGAATGGGCCGGAAAACGCTGTCGTAGACGTGATCTCGAATTCTCATACCTAGAGATTATACAAGCCTATATGAGTGGTTGTTTTAGATTACCTAGAAATGTTTTTGCTACTTCCATACTTTAATTGATTTATTAATTAAGATACAGATATTATTTTTGTTGGGGTTGTTGCGAGGATCGATTATATTGAACGCAGTTATAGAAAACGACACTTTACGAGATCTGTGCTTTACAGAATTTAGAAAATTACACAAGATTTGTATCTATAAAAATAGATAAATAAAAATATTATACATATACGCACGCATTAAATTATACCTACTACATAGGTATCTATAAATTAAACAAAAAAAAACCAATACGCTCAATAAATAAATAAATAAATAAATAAAAAACACTCAGAACGCAATAGTCTTATAATACTTATACACACACTCTAGTAAACGAGTGAAAAAAACAATCGAACTGTCATAATTCAACGGGTGCTGATTGTAGGAACATTTTCTTGTACACATGTTACGAAACAGTGGAAAAAGTGCGAAAGCAATCTATCATGAAGAATATTAGCGAGAAAAACAAAATATACATATTGTGAATAATATGTACAGGGTGTTTCGCATAAGAACCGACATACATCAGGGGCATCTAGGGGAACCCAAAATCTGATGATTTGGCGCAACTTACTAAGCTAAGCTACAACTATTACTAAAATTAAATGACTTTTGAATTTTCGATGATTTTAAATAACAGCTACAATACATATTATTAGTTTTTGTCAAAAAGACAAAGTTTTTTGAAAACTAACGAGAGTAAGAAAAGTTTTAAAATTAAATTGCCCATAAAATAAAGTAATAATTCTTTAAGTCCGCCAACGGGTTAAAAAAATATCACAATTAATGGTGCATCATCCCTTATCAACCCTTTAAAATGCTTCGATCGAACTCTACTTACTGTAGATTAATTCTCTTGGTACACTCACACCATGTACCGAATTTGGTTTCTCTAAGTTCAAGTATAACTGAGATATTGATTTTTTTCTAAAT